TACACTACACAACAACGAATTAAAATGCAGGAAAGCTACGAAGATTTGTTTAAACCTTAACAGTTTTTTTGAATGCGTTCTGCACACACTGTTTGACAGATACAATTGAGTGTGTTTACCTTTACTGATAGCTTCTCCAAAAATATCTTTCCAGCTCACCTAGCTAAACTAACTTGAAAATATGGCCCTATCACTCATATTTACATTGGCTTCCTGTACAGCTAAGGATGAAAGATTACAGAATTTAACTTATGAATGTCTCTTTTATTTAATTATCTATTCACTTATTTATCTTTAAAGTTATTTAAGGATATCTATTTTACTTAATCATTTTTATTTCTAATGCTTTATGCACGGTTTTAAGGTCACTTTAGTAAAGCAATACATAATGCATAATTCACCTTATATATAATTAAACATTGAATTGTGAATGAGTTGTGACTCTTTTCGAACGCTGCTGTAGGAAACAATTTAACTGCATCTAGAGTTTGCATAACTTTCTCAAATTAACCCCTAACCCACCCCTTCTGATGCTTAGCAGAGGCTACAGAAAAAAGTACAACATTGCTTTTGAAAATATTTTTCAAACATGATACCCGAAACTAATGGAGGAAGTGCCTCCTGTTTGTCTTCTCATCTGATCACATCTATCGACTAATGAGAGCGCACATAGTATCTTAAGTATACTATCGAAAGTATACTATCGACATCAAAACGTCTTCTGAATTTATCAGCAGTATTCGAAAATCATTTCAGCACAAGAGATTTTGGCTTAAGACTGGTATCACAGTTTTTTCATCAAAAGTGAGTTTTCCCTGAAGTAAGGCAAAATAGAGTTGTACAAAAAATACTTTGTTTTAATTTTTATTCAAAGGTGTTGCAAACGATGATGTTAAGAATTCAGTTTGTGCTGTTACCGACAACTTTTCATGATTATTTGGGCGAAAACTGCACCAAGTACGGACATTTCCACATTCACTTCAGGTATGTCTAAGTAAATTATCTAAGCAAAACGATTGAAGCTAGATTATATGATGATGACGTGTGCCGAGGTGGACCCCATATTGACTTCGTACCCACAAAAATGCGTTTTTTACAGAACTAAATGACAAATTTTTATTCGCAGCCTATCCGTAATTTAAGTTTCCCAAGATCGTTTGTCGATTAAAACCGGAATTCTTAATGAATTGCACACTTTGTCCGAGTTGAAGTCGTAATGCCATAACTTTCGATGGTTTTGTTTAGATCAAGAATAACAAGAAATTGAGTGCAAATTTAGAGTAAAAAAAGTGTCTCAGGAGTTTGAGAAACAAACAGATCCGGGACCTTCAAATGTGTCTGCAACAGTTGTAAGTCTTTATTCAAGTGTGAATTCGCTTCTGCCCTAGGATCTAGTATCACTTCTCGTATCTTGAAAATGGCTTTCTTGAAGATGTGGTAAGAACAGCCCTCTGCTTCGTCATTCATCAGATCAAATTTCTTATTCGTCGAGAGTTTAATAACGATTTCAATCTCTCCCGAGCGAGAACTTAACAAGTTATTGTTTATGTCCAGAAACCTATTCAAAACACGTACTAGAAGGCTAGAAAATTACTAACAAAAGAAGCATTCTACCATGAAATTTATCGCACCGAAAAAACTAAAATTTTAAAAAAATGAAATATGCAGCAATAAGTGCGGAAATACAGCTGTTACCTATTCTGGCGATAAAGCAGCAGACCCTTCTCGATCAAAAACACATTCTATTGGCGGTTTTCACCGTCAGGAAACCGAAGTCTATGTCGAAGTAATGGCGTCTATGACTGAAAGCAAACATCTTGTCTTGTTTCGCCACTAAAGTGATTAGCTATCCACTATGAAGTTGCGAACATTCATTTGAACAAATTTTTGTTATGCTTTTCATGCTCAGGGAAGAAAATGTCAACCAATAAAATCATATTTTACATACGTATCAGCTTTCGGGGGTGCTATTTCAATATAGAGGGAAGGAAACTAACGAAGTTAGAAAAGGCTCTCTTTTCAAAACAGAGAACCTAACAACGTTGACACCCTTCCAAAACAGTTTACCTATTGAAGTTCTCTCGTCTTTTGGAAGTAAAGCTCTATAAGTCCCAAAAATTTTCAATCTGTCCAGCGAACATGAGTAGTGTTGGATATTGACCTAATAACCTCAACCTCATGTACAAATTGCGTGGCATTGGGTACTAGAAAAACCCAAACAGAAAGATTTAATAATGAATGATATAGCCACACATACGAGATAGCCTGCGAATGCCTCTTGCTCGGCTATACAAAAAAATGAGTTCTTTTCGTCCGTGTTGCATGAAAATAATAGGGCAAGTAAGAATTAGTAATAGGGCAAAGAGGCACGTTGTTCAAAGGCATTTTCCACCCCAACCTATAGCTATCAGTAGGGCGTCGGTATTTTGCGACGAACTTTCACCAAATTATGTCTTCAAAACAGCCAAAAAGAAGCTACGTTCAGGGAGACTACAAGGAGAAAGGAGTGGTAATTGCTTGAGATATCGCATCACTTTAAATTCTATTCTGGGAACAAAAATGAATGGAAGTCCAAGCAATTGTATGAGAGTTGTTTGCACCACTTCGAAGTGTTCAAGTAAAACTTGTCGAAGAATGTTGCCTAGGGAAATCATAACTATCTATCCTATATAAATAACATCTCACATGGAGAGCGAAAGTCCTCAAAGACATGAAACGGACAAACTACTGGGTAATGTCGTCATTAAGACCTCTACCAACGAGAAACTATTTCACGACTGAGCTGTTGGCAGAAGACTGGGGAAAAATGTTAAACTAATTGAAATATATGTATCCAACTGTGATGGAACTTCGTGGTAACGTTGTTATGAGGCTTCGAACAGTTTTATCATAAATTCCAATGATTGGAAGCAGGTACTTTCGCGAACTGAGGTCTCAAGAGTGGTAATGTCTGCTACTATAATGGAAACTTGGATTGTGATTAGGAAGGACTGTGAAACAGGCCGATGAGAGCCGCGACAAATGAGAATGTAGATACGATTTTTATTGTAGCAATTTCTAAAAATTTAGCTGTGTTTTTAAGTGTAATTGTTCATTTGACTATGATTTTAAATACAACCCGAACTGCAATAATTGTTTTTGTGATTCACGAAAACGACTTAGACTGCAATTTGCAGCAGTCAATATGACTCGGAGCAACACGTAATGTACCACAAAATTCTCCAAATAAAAAAGATAAAAAAAATTCATAAAGTGGTTTTCAGAGAAACAAAATCCACAACTTCCATTGTATTAACCTGCAATCTAATCTTGATGGATGTTCCCAAATTCAGTCAAACTCGATCATCAACAAAGTACATAACCTACGTTTCCATGGATTGAGTGCAAGAAACCTTCAAACTTTCCCTTAATAATCTGATTGAAGTACCATGTAAATAAAGCTTAATTTCTTGTTGTACAACTCTTTCAACCCGGGTTTTCCAACCTAATATTATCTGTAAAGCACGAGTTAGTATGCCTAGCCGACTGTCAGCAGTTAGAAATTGTCCCTTTGTTATTGTCCGAAAGCATTGAAGTTTAACAACTTCCATTTTTGGTAAACTCCTACCGAGGTAGAACTACCAAGTATTAAAGGAGTTTGTGCATACGTTTTAGTTTCCCATACCCCCACTGTCGAATGGACATAATTTTAAGCTGTACGAGATTATGCATGCTGCAATGGAGCTTAATCATATACATGTTGATTTCTTGACATCAAGTTCATTCACAGGCATTCTCCAAACATGAACCATGTGTAACTAGCAGCGTAAAAAACATATGCTCGATGTTTTGACTGCCCTTGTTTGAATTATGTGAGATGTAAAATGCTTGAATAGTTCCGAATTCTGATTTCTTTCATTCCTTCACAACATTGTGTGGTCCTTCGCACCGATGCAGCATTAAATTTTCTTCCAAAGCTCACCTTCCCTGTATATGCATTGGTTTCCTTAATCTGAGTAGATAACCCATGATAGTTTGACGAGGGTTTGGTTTTCTACCTGTCTGTATTAAGTCCTAATCATTCTTCTAGACAAACAGCAACATGAATCTCCAAATATTATTAGACCTTCTAGCCAGGTTCTTTTAGTCATTTACTCTCTAGTTGGCTAAATCATTCACTATATGCAGTTTCCCCGCTTTAAAAGTAAGGATCAAGCTCTAATACATTGTTATTTTTCTTGATATCCATTTTTAGATTTGTTACACGGAACTGGAGTAACTCTCGATGAAGCAAATTTCGGAGTCATCCACTACATAATAACGGAGTGACATGCAGAAATACTTGGACCATTATTTGAAATATTAGAGGTTTTGTAATGCATTCTACGCATACCTTTGGACAGATGTTATGGGGTGTGATCTTTCCTTTTACTGATAGCTTCTCAAAAAATATATATCTCAGACTTAACATGTTTCCAAGAAGAGCTACGTAAATGAGATTTCCTCGGTCATAAATATTGGAAAGTAGATAAGATGGAAATAAGGAACAAATTTTTGTTCCCCTAGTCCACCAGTATCTTCTAAAGGAATTTATTTTTCACCTAATCCTATGAAGTAATAGTGGGGAATGAGAAGGATACTTTTGAAAATAGATAACTCGGAATAATTGAAGTGAAAGATGACGTTAGTCAGTGAATAACACAGCTATACTTGGAGAAAACAACTCTGATTGCTTTCACAAGGAGTTAAACCTACGACGTTCGGATTAGCATTTTAAACTTGGGGCAGGTTAGTTCGTTACGTTTAACCTGGTTCATGGTACCAAACCTACTGCAATCTGCTGTGATATGTGATGCTTCTGCGCAATGATGATGAATAAAACAGATGGTAAATGCTTGAACCTGGTGATTTCTAAGAGAAAGATGATGTTACTCATTGAGTGGCACAGTCATATTCAGAGGAAAAGAACTGTGAGTGTTCCCAATAGGAGTTAAACCTACGTCCTTCTGTCCCAGGAAGCTGTAAAATCTGAAATCTCAGGATAAAGAAGAAATGTGCAAGGTTGCGTTTAACAGGGGCGCTTTCGCGCGTGAAGGACATCGTTTCCAGGGCCTCATCGGAAAATGGATTTAAGCAAGATGGCGGCTGTAATGTGTGCTCTCACTGATAAGTAGCTGCTTTTGAATGCTAAATATTTAAAATGAACGGAACAAAATCGAAACCGATGAACCGCAGAGCACTTATTGGAAAACTTAAACACTTTGATGATGGGGTACGTTCCCTTTTCGAGCAAGCGACGGATTCATGTCAAAATCTTTATCAAACATATACTGGAGATGCCCTAGATCTTCGTGAAATTCAAACTTATCCAGAGTGGAAGGTTCAAATGTGTTTCAGAAATTTGAGGAAGCATCACAGAAAGCGATCTAGACAAAGTATAATATATATATTGCCTGTCGGCCCCTTTCCAAAGGTTTTACGGACGCCAATTGAGCGTGGAAGTGTCTCCACTTTCGAATTGATCAGGAGATTTGTGAGTTGCTACTTTATCGGAATGACCGTCAAATTTTTGGAAGAGATTGCAGTCACGAAGGTGAATTGTAAACAGAGATTTCATCCAGTTACTGGGAAACTGCAGTTGTTAGTAACAGGTCAGAGTATATGAGGTTGTATTATTCACGTTTACAAACTGATCTTGTCACACATCTCAGTTAGTAAGCGCGCTATGATTGGTCAATTTAGCGGACTATATTTCGCCTTGCAGCTCCGCCAAATTCAAAATTTTTTAAATTGAAATCTTCTCCCTTTATTTATAATAAGAAGTATTCATTTCCTAGACTGTATTTTATATAATTAGAAAGTAGAATATTACCACCAACTAGGTGTCTCAGTTCCAGAATCAATGTACTTTTGGAGATATGAAGATAAACATTTTCCCTGTTTTACCCTACAGTTAAAGTGACTGAAACTATACTGAGATAAATAATTGATCAGTGTGTTTACATTTACTCTTTGAGAAAACTAGATGCATCAGAGTAAAGACAATGATAAGTAAACATTTCAAACTTTTTTTTTGCAATGTTTTTGTATGAAATTGAGGCCTCCAGGCTTCGAAAAAGCTGCAGTTGTTACCATGGAAACAAGAGTGCAACCTGTAAAAAAGGCATTCTTGTGCATCCCCCCTGAGTGCCTAACTTTGTGCAAAATGTAAAAGGGGGGTTGAAAATGTTTCATTTCCAAAGATGTTTGAATCTTACAGACTAGTTCTGAAAGTGCTCAAAGAGAGGAATGGCAACAATCAAAAGATGTCCCTGTTATTTACAATAAAATTTTTAGTACAGGTAAAAAATACAATTTCCAGTTAAATTCAAAGAGAAATCTCTTTGCTTCATCCAACTTTTTTATAAGTGCTACCCTTGACAAAGCACCTCCCTCAGGTACTATGTTGCATATTCAAGTAAAAATGTTATGTTTACTCTTTTGACCCCAGGAGTGACCAGTTTGTTTACATTCTTTCTACACTAAAGAAATTTTCAATCAAGTATAGAAAGTAATCTGGAATTGCTATATAGTTAACTTTCACTTTTTGTCTTTCTGTGATTAGTCTTGAAAATTGTGTGCCAAGTTTTCAACCAATCAGATACAAAAACCAAGGCCAATTTCAACTTGGTTACTTGGGTTTTCCCATACTTTGGGCAGTTTTCTTATTTTTAGTTGGAGTTTTCAATAGCATTTTTACTATTCCCTTTGTTATAACATGATTGGCTGTTCTTACCACTCTGATTCTGGTCTTACAACACTTGATTGCAAAGTGCATGTATTTGGTTTTGACAGATAGCATAAGGATAAAGGGAGTAAGTTTCTAAAGAAACTGTTAGCAAGGTTGTGTTTGTGGCTGGTGTGGCAAGGGCTAATGCAAAAAAATTAAGCCTTGTAAACTCTCTACAATGGCCAATTAAAAAAATCAACACAGTTCATAAAACAAAGTTATCTTGTAACACTAGTTCTTGGCACTTACATGTACTAATGGGGGAGTCTACTGTTATTTTAAGTCATTGGGAATAATTAGCTTGGATATTGTGGGCTTAAAAGAGAAAGAGGAAAAAAGAAAACAAAACATTTGTATAAATAGTCTATTCACTTTCAAATGCAATAATACAGTATCCATTGCTTGTCTTTCAATGCAGTCCCTTCATTGTGGATTGCAACATTTTTATTACTTGTTGCTGATCTTCTTTAGGCAATAAAGTTGATTGCTTGATATGCACCATTTGTTGAACACATGGTAGGAGCCTCATAACTAGTCCACATCATGATTTAATTAAAGAAGACTGTAGCATAAAGTTGAAATGTTACAGTCCATACTGGAAGTGACTTTGTTATGTGGCAAGCAATAAATCCTTTCTTGTCACAACTGTATCTAATCATAATATATGATCAAATATCTTTTTACTCTAATTTCAGATTTGATGCACTACTTGAAAACTAGTCTCCCTGCAGATGGTTACTGCATCATTGGTCTTACATGGGTGGATCTTTATCCTGGTGAAGATTGGAACTTTGTTCTAGGCGAATCATCATGTGAGGATGGTTGTGCTGTGGTTAGCTTTGGTCATTTTGAGCCTCAGTCCTACCAGTATAAACATTTAAATGATACAACAAATCAGAACATTGCAGGAGTGCAATGTGACAAAGCTGATAGAACTATTTCCTCAGTCTCTTTTGAGAGGAATGGTCATGATGATGTAAGCCTTTACCTGGAAGATTTTGCAGATATAGAAAAAGTCAATAAAAAGATCATTTGGAGACTTCTAAGGGTAAGATGTTCAAAGATGAACATACTCTGCTAGAGTGTACATTTATCCAATATAGGTAAAACTTGATTGCATCTAATCATACTTTGTTCTTCATGTTTCCAGCCTTCATTAATTAATATTACACATAAGCAACCAAGATTCTTTGGGTCTGTGAGAGTATGGGTGGGTGAGACATGCAAGTTATGTAATGTGGTACTCAGAAAACCATTAACAGTTCAGATTGATTCTGACTACAATTGTGTCCTTAAAATTGGAAACTTAAATTTCTGTTGTTGTTAGTAGTTTAGTTTCTTATGCCCAGTTGGCTTTATCCTTGAAACTCAAGAGCACTCCATTAATATTTCCAGTGTTCAGGATTATCTGACTCTTGCTTCTTGCTTTAAATCACTGTGTAGTTCATAAATGAGAAGTATTGGTGGAAAAACATAACAATGCTGTGGAAGCCTACTGTCAGGACAAAATCTGTTGTTGTCAACATATTAAGCATTGTTTTAATTTCATGTTTAGATGGCAAATTGCAAGGTGTGCCCCATGTAAGAGGGTAGCAAAGGGGAGGGGGGGTGGGGGGGAGAGAGGTCCAAATCCTGTTTCCTGCACAAATTTTAAAACAATTCATGTATTGTGTGCTTTAAACAGTACGTAATCTTGTGCATCAAGAATTGAAAAGGTGAAACTTCAAACCTCACCATACCTTGGCTTTCTATAAAATTCACACATTCTCCTTGAGTCTTAAGCTTAATCATGCTGCACATATAAACCGTTTGCCACCCTCATAAAAGCTAAATTGGGATTCAGTCTCAGAGAGAAAATGGAACTTCAGGCTATACTTTAAGCTTTGCTGTCATCTTCTTTACCATAGATATCAATTTTGTTTGTTTTCAGGTATCAAGCCATGAAATATGTCATGTGTTTGGAATGGCTCACTGTTCATATTTTGCTTGTGCCATGAATGAGAGTAAATCAGTCCTCCAAGCAGAAAATCAACCTTTATTTCTTTGTCCAGTTTGTTTGCGTAAACTACAAAAAGCTGTTGGCTTTGATGTTATGGAAAGGTACACTGGCTTATGTATCCTTCTAGAATATGTCATGAATGAAATACTTTCTAAAGATGATTATTGCCACACCGAAGACACATCATTACAAAATACTGAAGAATGCAAATTTGTAATGGCAATCAGTTGGTTGAAATCAGTGCTTAAGTTTATCAAGAGGAACAATGATATAAACTCCACTAGCAATTAGGGCTGTTTGGACCAAAAAATCGTGTAATTCAGGTCACTGGATATTAAGCCATTTTTCCATGACTGCACACTGGATACAAGATGATGGATGACAAACGAAATCTGTAGGGCCAAGTTGGCTATAACCATCTCATATCCAACAAGCGCAAGTAGAATAATTGCTTTATGAAAAATGCCTCAAAATAGAGATAAATCTTCCTGACTTTATTTCATAAACTTTATTTTCTTATGTAATGGTTCATAATCCATGATGGCTAAGCAAATGAAAACTCTCAAATTGTATTATCCATTGATCCAGTGTTTAAAAGGAGAATATTTCCTCCAACCTCACAGGGCTGACTAAACTGAAAAATAGGCTATTATCTTCTCCTTCTTTCTTTCCCATAGGCCCATGTTTTACACGATTTTTCTCTCTATTTAAGTGATTCACATTTTTATTTATCATTATCACCTTTGCAGGTAGCTGTAATTCTCTCATAACTATTTTCATGGTTTTCTTCATTTTTTAATGAGCCAGATATAATTTAATACAATTTTTTTTTAAGTAGATTCAAATCAGTGTCAATTAAAAGTATTGTCTTAGGATCAATAAATCATTTTTAAGAAACGTGATGTGGGTTCCAGATCCTTGTCTCGATGCAGTCCATGCCATTCCAAAATTTCTCAAGAGTATAGCTTAATTAATTTTATCTTGAATCGATCAGAGAGGACTGTCAAGAAAACAACAAAGTAAACATCCCGTTAACAGTTCTTGATTCTCACCCAAGTCGTGCCTTACGCATGCGTTTGCCTTTATTTGCTTGATTCGTTCGTAGTTGAACTGAGCACAAAGACGCATTCGGAGCGAGATGGCTAAAAGATCGCCTTATCGTGCGTCCAAAATCGAAAGCCGGTGGATTTTACAGTGAGAAAACCCCCTTGTTTCAAGACCACTGGTGATTTGACCATGAATCCAGGCAGACTTCGCGGTTATCTATCGACGAAATCTGCCCTTTTGATAAAGGAAGGCTTTACTACGGGTAGATTATGACCTTCAAAAATCAAAATTCGTTCCTTGCATGAGGGAAAATGACTGATCTTAAAGTCTGGGTGGATGGTGTACCGCGAGTTGTGCGTGGAGCACACGAGGATACTACATGTGAAAATATTTTGTTCGCTCTAGCGAGCGCCACGGGTAAGCTTGGAAGATTTGCCTTGGTCGAAAAATGGCGAGATCTCGAAAGGATTTTGCCGCGAGAGGCGAAACCGCTCAAGTGCTTGCAGATGTGGGGAAAGCAAGCGGGCGAAGTCAAGTTTATTTTGAAATTAATGAAAGACAAATCAAAAACGAAGGAGAGCAAAGTAGGTGCTGAAGAACACTCCGAGGATGAAGAGAACTTAACGAGTGACCCTTTTCATCGCTCTTTCGAACGGAAGACTTTGGAGAGAGTCGTCGCTAATCAGACGAATAAGTTGAAACGTCTCACGCGTGACCTGGAAATCATACAGTTGCGAATTGACAGTTGTGTCGACAACGAAGAAGATTATCTTTACTTCACCGAAGAGGAAATCACCGAGGATCGTATCACTAAACTCGGACAGGTTCTGAAATTGCAAGCCAAGGAATTATCCGTGGAAGGAATTTGTGCAAACGAACTCGCGAAAGAAAGAACACGGGAGGAAAAACTCCAGTTCGAACTTGAAGATCACCGAAATAAACTTCACCACCTAGATGTTCACATCTCCGATTTAGAAAGCGTCGGTACCAAAATTTATTCCATGCGAGCTCCTCAGGACAGGAACATTGACAATGGTTCACAGCGAATCGGCGTGAGTGATCTGGAAGAACTAGCTCAAGAAATATCGATAACAAGAGAAGAGCTGTCAAAGCAAAGAGAACTCGCTGATCGACAGAGCGAGGAAGTTGAAAACATTAAAAAGTCGTTCTCGGAATTAGAACGGATCGCGCGCCAAAAAACTGTACAACTCGACTCGCTGAAAGGTGATTCATCATCAGAAATTCGCTTATCTTATTACGATTTAGACAAAAATCTACAATTAGACACCGCGAAGGACATTCCGTTAAATGGCGTGGATGATATGCTTTTATCGCCTGATAAAAGCAAATTAACTGGTTCTGTGGCTTCTCAAACACCATCCCGAAATGGGACACAAAAAGATGATTCGTCACATGGAGCTGTTTCTTCTCATAAATCTCCTGTCCGACAGAGAATTGGGGCATTTGATAGCCCTGATGATCCGGGAGTTTTTGTCTAAGAAAAACGTGGTATGTACATCTTTTCCTTTTTCCTTTTTGTTTTTTTCCATCTGATTTCTGGATTTATGCTACACAACAATTACATTGATGTGTATGAGAAACAGTTTAGTGTTGTTTAGAGTTTATCGTTCCATGCATGACGTCATAGTCGTGCGGTGAGGGGTAAGGTACGTCTGGCAAATAATTTTCAAGTTTAATATAGTAATTTTCGTCTCTTAGACAAACCTGTGTCTTCATCTGCTCTGTCCAAGGATACATCAATATACATATTTTTGTTTTGTATTTTTTTCTTATTCAATAATTTGTCTTTGGTTGGGCATATTTAGTTTCATTTTGTAAATTTGGGTCTGAGATTTTCTGAAAGTTTAACTTTCTTTGTCCAATCCAAAACCTTACCCCCTATTGTGCTACCTGTTGGGATGATATTTGAAACTGATAAATAAATTACTTTTATCATTATTATTATTACTGGTACTATACATACTTGGAACATCAAACAAATATAAGAAATTTTTTTAACTTGATCCCTGTGATAATAAACTTTTTGACATCACACTCACATCTTATGAAAATCCTATATGGACTAGTTTTATATGAGAAGAGATTTTTCTGGATTGGTAAACAATGGAAATTGAATGTTTCCAAGGGTGTTTGGATTCATTGTACTGTAGATCCCACTTGAACAGTATTCAAAGTTTGGACTGTTCTGTTCATCACCAAATCCATTAGCTGTCTGCCCTGAACCAGATATCACTATCAGGTCTTTCAGCTGCATTAATTTTAGCCCTGTACGGAACTAAGTTCAATTAAAAATTGTCCTTGAAAGAAGTATATTCACTGAGATAAAAATTATTCCAAGAACCAGAAATAGTTTGTATTCTCCAAACAAAGGCACCTTTGATTGTAATTATTTGGGGTCTCTAAATGCCCAGAATGATTGAAAAGGCTTCGTAAGTTTATATTTTGTTAGGAGATGAGGATTGCCTTTTTAACTATGTGAGAAGACTTGAACAAAGAAGGCCAAAAATCTGCAGATTTGCGAAAGAAATGTTTACATTACTAAACTTTCCAGATTGAAAATTGTTTGCACACCATTTAGCGGTAGACCTTAAGTTTGACCCTTTCCATGTTTAAAGAAAGATTTAGTGCAGTAAATACTTTTTTCCTTTCCAGAGCTATTGCTCGCAAAACTGAAGTTCTGTTTTGTATTCAGTTCCACAGGAGAGTTGCTTACTGCTACTTAGAACTTCACTGGGATTTTTCCTGTGTCATTGACCCAAAAAACTGATCATGCCTCCTGGGAAAAATTCTTAAAAGATTTACTTCTTGTCAACCAGAAGTAGTATTCTTCCTAATAACAGCAGAGAAGTCATCTTTTTAACTAATGAATGTATCAAACACCAGAGTTATATTAATTTAAGAGTTGCAAGTTGATTTAAGTGGATTTTTGTGGCCCTTTTGTCCTTTCTTAAGATGAAGGAGTGTTTCCATGCCAGGATGACGTGAGACACTTTGGACAAGCCAAGTGAAATGAATTTAAACAAAGTTTTTCTGTCTCAGAATCCTTCAAGGCTGCTAAATATTATGTAAGTAATATGTGCACTCTTTAGAGCTTGTGGTATGTCTGTTTGTTTACATGAAATGCTTGCTTGATGGATAATTTTCTTGTTTTCCTATTAATGGAAACACTGTCATGTTTTTATGTTTGATCAGGACAGTATCTTAAGCATATTATTTTCTAGACCAAATTGAATATGTGAACTCTTCAATCTCAAGTATCTAAAGCAAATTTGACCATATATTTCTTTGGTGGCTCTTCCTGATGTAATGCTCCAGGCTGTTATTCTAATTGTTGCAACCAAATATGCTGCAAAAGACACTAGTTTGGTAACTCTTTCTTTTTCTGGTGACTATTTTGGTGATTTCAGGTCCTGAAATTTGACTTTTGGTTGAGTGGGATTTGGAGTCCTTTTATATAATGTGTTTTTTTTTATGGCATTTGAAATTGTAAATCCAAGCAACATTTCTTTGTTCTCATCAGCCATCCAAGTATGTGACTGTGGATTAAACCTTATATTTGAAGGTGAACATACTCATCACAACTGTTGGTGAAATAAGATGTTCTTTCTTCCATGTCAAGAAAATGTTTTTAAGATATAGCTAAATATGTTTTGTTTTTTAAGGGTGACAGCAAAAAACTCATAAGTTGGCAGTAAGAAAATTCAGCACGAAAAAACTCAACATGGAGAGGGGAACTGGTTGTTTCAACAAGGCTTGGAGAGTGTTATAGTACATTTGATATTCCTTGAGTTTTGTGTATCTGTATTGAACAAAGACATATTTGTTGATCTTTCAGTGTGGAAGGTTTCAGATTTGGAGGAAGGAAAATAACCAATCCAGTCTTTTGACATATTTTTGACAGAACTTAGTTTGAGTTTGGATGAACAAGCAAGGATGATAATGAGTTTGCTGCTCTTGAAGATGTGTTTAATGCAAATCATATTGCCTAAAAGGTATTGTTTGTTGCAATATGAAATGATTTCACATGATTGTGATATAGTGGTGGGGGAAATGTGTATGTGTTGAAGCAACAAATGACAAATTTAGAGAAATTTACAGAAACTAGGAAATGGTTGAAGGAACTCTAAGCATTGTTATTGCGTTAAAAGAAATATATCTGCAGTTTTAATTTGATAAAGGCTAAAGTAATATCATGAACAAGAGAATTAATTATTATATTATGATTCCTTTTAAAAGTTGTAAGAGGGAGAAACATTTTTTTTGTCAATAAGATTTATTTAAATTTATTTATGGAAGGAAGTTGAGTGAATTTTACAATAAATTATTACCTCAAATCAGTCATTTAAAAATTTGCCATAATTATAGCTTATCTTGATACTCATTGTGTGAGCTTTTGTTAACTGAATTTAAATTTCTGAAATAAAGAAATATGTTTATCTAAATTTAATAAATATATTTAGACTGTGGAAAGTGTTAATCATGTATGGATTGGTGGGATGGGGTACCCAACAGTCTGGTGCCTGGAGTGATATTATCTAATGAAATGTAGCAATCATGGAGCATATTGCCAGCTTCCATTGGTGATGATGGCCAGAACTATTTGTTCTTTGCATCTCTTGCCTATAACTAGTTCCAATACCCAGCTCTTCTCTCTATCACTAAGGGGAATCTGCAAAGTGTCTGGGAAGTACTTCACTGGGTTAAAAGAAAGGAAAAAGAACTGAATAATACTACATAAATGATAAAGAAACAGAAGAAATCATGCATTTTTTCTGAAATAATAAAGTGGTGCTCCTCATTGAATTTCAATTGTCATGTGTCCAACAAGAAATGGAAAGGAGACAGAATTTTTGAATTAGTCATTCGTTATCTGCAGCCAGTACCCAGGTAGCACCCCATCCTACCCTTTAAGGGACTGTCCATTATTTAGAGGTTGTGGAGGCTTGGTGTGAATGGAAAGAGCTCATGCCCAAATCCTTTTGACCTTACCTTTTGTGAAGCATAATTACTCCTGACTATTCCCAGCACATGCCTACCAATTCATGGTTTTGATCAAATATTCATACCCAATATGAATGCATGAATTTGGCTCTCTCTCTTTTTTACCAACATAGAAGTCAGCGCATGATCCTGTCTTATGTAAAAAAGCTGTCCCATTTGCTAGAGAGAATCTTGATGGCTTAAAGCATTGTGGCTAAAGAAAGTTTCATGTGTCAGCAATAACTGTAGATTGGTGCTAGCATAGAAAAACAATTGCATGTTTGAGATCATGGATTTTGGTTCCTGTAGTCAGAGGTGGTGTTTTTAATTTAAACATCGAATCGCAGATATCATAGCACACTGGAAGTGCTTGTCAGTCATTCAATCATCATCTCTCCTAGTGGAAACTCTTTGAGCTCAAAGAATGCCAATGAAACCTTCACAGGGTCGTAAATCGTCCATCATTTCACCAACAACGCCACTTAATTACACACTGTGAAGTAATTTTCTGAAGTTCTTTCTTTAAATCATTGTTCCAAAATAATATGTTTTTCCTTAGATTCATTAGAAGACAATAGCGTCGCGCATGGCTGCCTTTGTATGAAACTTACACCCTGCCTCGAAGCCGTGCTCTGATTGGTCATGCAAATATGAATGTTTTGTGTGTCTGTCTCTTGAGAACAGCTCCCATGTGCTCTTGCAGTCATTGCCTAGATACGGTTTCGACGCTAAGTAAAAAAAAAACACAAGAGAGTTTGTAACGATTGGCGATCGATCCTCTTCTGATGGAAGACCACTGCATGGAATCACAGTGAAATCTTCCTTCCGTTGGCGCGTGCGTTGGGAGTAGTTTTTTTCGTGAGAGGTTCGAATTCCATCACTTGTTATTCCCTAAGAGTCCGCGAACACTTGGGCAGACAACTTGTAATGTACTTACAACTTGAACTTTAGTGCCCTACGATCGAGGAACTCAGCTCTACAGACGAAAAATAACTTTGATTTTCGTAATCTCGTCGGGATATCAACGACTTGTTGGCTTTTCGGTGAAAGTAACTGCAAAAGTCAACGTTTTGTTTAACTTTGACTCTCCCTAGCGACAACATTTTGTTACAAATTGCGGAGGAATCTGATTTGTGTGTACTCATCCTATTTACGGCTCGTGTTCTTCTCGGTGAGCTACACAGTAATATGCGAAATCGGCTTTTCGAATAATTGAGAGAACTGTCGAAACTACTTCTAAATTGTGGTCGACAGGATATTAAAAACATTCAGTTATCGCGGCAGGGATTCCGCAGTTGTTAACATTCGTCTTTAATTATTAAATTTGTTTGCTTGGAAGGTCTAGTTTACTTAGCGACTTGAGGACTTGACCATTTAGTTGCCAAGACACCAACGAGGAAAGATGACTACTCGGGGTTCGCCGATTCTTGTGCCTCGTTACATGGAGAAAGATTATCTCCAGAGTTTAAACGATCGCTTTGCTTCGTACATATCTCGCGTGCGACAAATGCGCGAGCAAAGCGGCCGTATGGAAACAGTAAATCTTACAAACACGACCAAGATTCTAGAGGATGAGATGGTGGCTCTGAAGGGCATGTACGAACGTCAACTAGAGGAACTGAGGAACAGACTCGAAGAAATGGCTCGAGAAAGAACACAGCACCAATTGGCTGCAGCGAAGAATTCTGCCTTAGTGGCAGAGCTTCAGGACAAGTAGGTCTAAAACTTAAGTTTGATTGTAATAAAAAAGTAAACAATAGTTTCTCCCCACATTTTCCGGTTTGATACGCTCACCAAAAGGTAACTGATTTTTTTTTAATTCAATAATTTATTGACTCAATCAATCAGTTACTTTTGATCTTTTAGGGGATGTGATGAAAATGCCAAAATATAAAATTTCAGGATGGGTGGGGACAAAACAGCTCTCTGCTGACCTCTTCCCTTGCTCCTAATATGCTTAGGATGGGAGAAATTTCATCATAAGTTAATCCGTTTTTGGTCAATCTAATCATTTATTTTCCTATTCATTTAGTTACTTATAATGTTTTTGGGATTTGGTGAACTTGCTAAAGAAAACTATACATGGACTGTGGGGAGGGGTGGGAACAAAATAGGTCCTTACCTCCCCCATTCCTTTAGCCCTCTAAATGGTGTTCCTAGGATGGGAGAAAACAGAATCAGTTAATGAAAAAAAAAAAGAAGTAGATATCCTTAATTAGTGCTCTTGGACTTAGAGCCCCTCAGCACATCTTATCTGTGCACCATTTTATCTAACAAATTAAATCTCTTGCTAGGGTGTGCTTTAGCAGGCAATGTAAGTAATATACAGATTGTTGCAATTTTGAATATTCTTTTGTCTGAATCAGATTAGGGGAAGAGACCAGTGCCCGCCAAAAGTTAGAAAATGCTCTAGCAGATGCCCAGCGAGTTATTGCAGAAAAGGAGGCACTGTTACAGGATGCTAGAGTCACCACCACTCAACATCAGAATGCCCACATGGATACAAAACGAGATAGAGATGGGCTTCAAACTGCCTTGACACAAACTCAGCAAGCCCTAGATACTGAGGTAGCAGCAAGAGCTGATCTCCAGACTTTGGCCAATCAGCTCAGGGATAAACTCAACTTTCAGCAGCAGCTTCATGAAAAGGTGAGAACCAATTATAAAATTATCATTGATTTTTCATCGATAATTATCTGTTAGATACCATGTTTCACCTTAAGCAACAAGATGCAAATTAGTGTGCTTGTCTTTTAGGAGCTGCACGAAATGCGTTGTCGTCTGGATGATGCTGAAAGGACTATCTTGTTGGCTGAGGAAAGATTGCATGAGCACAACATTATTGATGAAAACTTGTCAGCTATGTTGGCCAAAGTGAAGCTGCACAGTGATGCAGAGTTACGAAGATTCAAAGAAGAGGCAGAAATCTCCTATCACAATGGGGTAAGTACAAAAAATCCTTCAATGTTAACTTTTATATCACCTACATCACTCTTAGTGAGCTAATGTATTTGTTTAGTACAAATAATACTCCACCCTTATGTTGAGAAGAGTTGATGAAGTGTCCCACCTGGAGAATTCAGTTTAGTTGAACTATCTTAAATTTGTAATTTATTTTTAAATTATATGACTGAAACCTCACCCCATACCACTGTGATATCTTGTGTAAAAGAGCTGAGTCCAACTGAACATAACCAAATTTCATGTTAGCCATAAGAGATTGAAACTGAGAAATATTTTACTACTTTAACGGCAGGCCTCCTAAAGTTCATGCCATATACATGTAAAAAAAATTTAACTAGGAAAAGGCATCAGTAGCAATATTTCAACACTGATGTTATCAAGCACTTGCAGAAGGTCTTTTTGTGACCTAAAATTCTAAAAAGTTTCTAGAAAAAATTTAGTCACAAAAATGGTGAAAAAATATTAAGGAAATTTTGTGAAACATTACATATATTTTTGTGCCAGTGTTTGTCTCACTTTAATTTTAGACTTTCAAAACACTTCCTCTGAAACTGGTATCTTTTAGCTGCATATGCCGTCAACAAAATTTTTTCCACTCACCATGATTAAAAATGGTTTCAGCTTGGAGTTTGATGCAGGTACCAATTAATTTTGATGTATACAAAATTTTTTCCACTTCGTGCAGATGAACCAGATCCGAGCACAGTTGGATAATGAAAGCAGAAACCTTGCAGCTGCCACAGACGACAACATCCATTTGAAGGCTCAAGTTGAGTCTCTGCATTCTAAGAACATCAACCTTGAAGCTAAGGTATCTATAGTAAATATCACAAATACCCTGTACCTTGAACTTCCTTATTACCATTAATCAATAATTGGCTGAAATTTTCTCAGTAATTTTTTCAATCAAACAGATAACAAAGATTATCTAGTAAGTGAAAGAGTCTGTGAATACATACTTGTAGGTCCTCCCCATTAGTGCTTTGGCATGAGTTTGCCCTCTAAGATATGAGGTCCTGAGTAACATAAACCAGTGAGAGGTTTGCAAGGAGTCAACTCTTTAACTCCCAAGATGTCATCAGTAATTCTCTCTTCTGTTTGCCATACAATTCTTATGATGTTAGTTTGAAGAATTTGGTATTGGATCAACTAATAATCCCCTAAATAATCTTTTCTTTATTTTCATCGCTTGTGTCCTTGATATTGTAAGCATAGGATATTGTGAGGTGAAATTCTATCTTGGTCACTCATGGGATTTAAAGGGTTAAGCACTGCTATTAGTGCCAAACCTTCAGTGGCCAACCTCTCCTCAACTCTGGTGACTCATCTCAGATCATCCCACTGGTGACAAAGCAGGCACCCTGCAGCACAAGTAATAAGAGCTTGCTCTGAAGCTTTGAAAGAGACTTCTCATTTGTTTGCTGTGCACGTGGTGACATCGCTGTTTATGTTCAGCAAGAAATTTAAAAGCTCCATTGTTATAAATTTCTGACATGTGCTTTTAGATATGCCCTGTCAAAAAATATTTGATTCTTAAATGATAAACAATGAAAATAACCAATTGAACTCATTTTCTAGTGTTCCAGTTTGGAAGCCCAAAATGCTGGCCTTATTCAAAACCTGGAAATGGAGCGCCAGCAGGCTGCAAACACTATAAAGAATCTGGAGGCTAAGTTGCGAGAGCTGCAAGAAGTCCTAATGGCCAAGGTGCGGGAGCTGGGGCTGGCATACAATGCCCATCTACCACTTGACTTAGAACTGGACGCATTTGCCACTTTACTGGAGGCTGAGGAGAGAAGGTGAGCAAAATTTCTTTTCCAGACCTGCAACTAGAATGTTACGTAAACCATGAATGAAAGAGCTTATAAAAAAGCCATCATGTTGTTGTACCATGCTTAGAATCATTAAATTTTAAAAAACTGTCACAGTTTGCATGGTGAGTCTAGTAAGTAAAATGTATGGTGACCTAAGCATTAACTTTCCAGTGAGGAAGCAAGGGCATGATACTATTATGCATCTGCCCTTTTTCACCCAGCATCATTCTCTGCCTGAATAAGTTCTCAGCCACATCCCTATTTTCTAACTATGAATTTGTTTCTTTTGACAAAAATGTTTTTACAGTTATTGATTAGTTAAGACTTTTCCCATGATTTGGTATATGTGCAGTACAATATTATTGTGCATCAAACTTTTGGCCCATTTCTCATCATTCCAGGTTAAACCTGGCCATGGAAAGCAAGGTACCTCTTACTCCAGTACGCTCGCGTACCTGGCATGCCACTACAGAGAAGGTTCCTATCCCAACTGTCAAACGACCAGCTACCACTCTGGGTATCACACATCCCCCTGCTGTTACAAGTACTGCAGTGATAAGGCGTCCTGTGACACGACCCAAGACTACAGCAGGTACTTAATGCTGATGTAAAATAATGTTAAGTCTTGAATGATTATTTGTTTTATGTGGCAATTATAGCTTAATGCTTCAAAACTTTTGTGAGGTTTCCTTGGAAAAATTCCAGTTATTTTTAATTGAGTGCTGGCATTGGAGAAAAGTACTTAAATTGAACCAATGAATTTCAGATGATTGTCTGGACTTTCTTCAAGTTTTGGAGTGAATGGATGTTTCTGAAGCAGGGTGCATAACCCTGCAAAGTCATTGCCAACCACCAGCTTGCAATTATATTTCTGTTTTGTGATGGGTGTATATATATAATTATATAGAAAGATCAGTCAAGCTTTAATCTAAAGTTGGCACTCTTCTTCAACTAGGATATATTGTAATAATGTAAATACATTTAATTCTATGCTCACTAAAAGAAATCTATAAACTTTAAACTTGAAGCCAGGAAGTAACTTCATGTTTACTGTGATTAAATGTCAGGCACTTTGACTGGCACAAAAGTAAAGCCTGTAGTTCAGCCCATAACAACTAGCAGTCCATACCGCCACTCCTGGTCCTATGTACCAAACTTTGTGGACTATCACAGCCCTACTTCAAGGTGATTTAAGTTTCTTGTATTTTATTATAGATGTATGGTCTGTATGTGTGTGATGTATTTTAAAATGCTAGGCAGGGATGATAAATTGCCTGGTTTTGCAGTGATTCAAATGCATAGATCTTGAAAAACAGAAAAAATTTCATTTCTGAGGAAGATGCATACAGACTTAAGTCTGGGGCATTCTCTTGATGATTGGTGATTATGTTATGTCCATGCACTGTCAAATCAAAGATTATCCAATGAAAGTCACCTTGGTTTTAATGCTACTACTGGGTATTTGAAGGAAAGAGTGATGAAAGCACTACAGTGACTGTAGACATTACAGAGCAACAAGGTCTTTGTATTTATACAGACCACTCCTCCTTTTGTGTACTCATGCATCACTAGCTGTGGTGCCTCACTCTTCACTGGGAAGTTTTTGAGTCACTGAGTTGAAACTATAAATTGGGTCCCCTTAAATTGTTTCTGATGGTTAACAATGCCAATTAATATACCAAGGGTAAACCAATAAAATATTATTTGCAAGGGAGCGTTAATTTTTTTAGGCTTACATGTATTTGCTACTAACATGATTTATATGAAAATGCACTGATGTTAAGTAACAGCTGCCTTTCTAGCAATTAAGCTTTTTGTTTTGGATTAAACCCTTGATAGAATGTTAAAGTTTGAAATATATGGTTGAATTTTTTTTTTCATTGAAAAAAGTTCCCAAAAGGCCAGTTTGTAACTTAACAGTTGAATCCAATTTGAGGAGAACTAAATCAAAGTGTCTAACACAAATCTTTTCCATCATTCTGGGCCAGTCGATGTAAACAGTTGTTGTTGTTCCCAAAACTGTTCAAAATCAAATTTCCGAATAATTTTATACCACACATTCACCAGTCTGACTCTGGTTATTCTGTTTCTTTTGGAGGTCTCGCTTTCTTCGGAGCCTTCCACGCACACTGGCCCAGTATGACTTCTTCAAGATTTACCATTGAGAACAATACAGTGCCACATGATGACATTTTTTTTTTTGCTCATTACTATTGATATGCAAATTTTCCCTCCTCTTTGAAACACAAAGTTCAGCTCAAGTCAACTACGGTTTTGATTATTTCAGATCCCCATTAAATTTGTATCTAGTTCATGTTTTGCTATTGCAGACAGTGGTTCTGCAGTCCAATTAGTAGACTGAGTTTATTTATTTTACCAGGTACCATTTGGGCAATATTTTATGGATGATGTTTTATTTGAATTTTATTAACAAGGCAAAAGAGTGGATTTTAAAAATTTTTATTTTATATCTGTCAGGGCTTTTAAATGCCACCAGCTACAAAATATTTTTTCCCGAATATTTGACAATTTTTTTTATTTTCAAACTCTGCGGTGCAAACATTTATACAGTAGAATTTAATTGCCACTCTTAAATTTTTCTGGTCCAATCTAGTAGAGCATCCCCTTGAATTTTGTCATCAAGTTTGTTTCTTTTTTTTTTTTTTTTAAGTTCATTCAAGTTTACTTTTTTTTTTTCTGAAAATGTGAGTGTTGGGTATATGATAACTCCCATAATGCTTTACTCAGAGTCTATTGTATCCAATAGCACAACAATGTTAAATGAATTTTTAGATGAACAAAAGTTAACAGACAGTGATTATTATAATATGTCTCTTTTGATTTAAAATTTTGGAAGTGACATAAATTTGATTTAAAAACATTTGCTTGATGTTAAGTTTGAAAAAAATATCAGATTTTACAAATAGGTAAAGATTATGTTGAAATTATATCACAGTAATTATTATTCTGGATATTGTTGATTTAGGAGATGCACATTTTATTAATCTTTATTATTTATTGTTGAAATAACAGAATTGAGAAATTTTATTCACTTAGATATATTCCTAATGTGGATTTTTATTTGATTGAATCACCCAATAATCTTATTTATTGCAAATTAGAAGTATAATTACAGGAATCAGACATCATGATAAATTACAAATCACCAATAAGAGTTTAATCAGTTATCTTAAATATTTCCTTTTTGATATTCAAGAAGATTTGGATATTTATATATATCTAGATTAGATTCTGCTTCTTTCCTTTTTACACTGACAACACTGAATTTCTATCTCACCGTTTACAAGAAAGTATGGGCATTTTTTCACTTGTATGCCGACAAACACCTTATCACACATGTTGATGCATTTTCTATTATGATAAAATTTTCATCAATCGCTTTGTAACACATTAGATATTACAATGATTTTGTCAATAAAGTCATTTTTCACTAAATTATGCAGGATTTTTAAAGTTGTTGATGTTAAATTTTTTTTTATAAGATTTTTAAATACTTTCACCTGATGACTTTGATTTTTCAACCACATCAATCGGCAATTTAGCTACTTACCCTCATTTAAGAGTTGGTGCGACTTTCATACAGTAAGGAAAAAATCATTGTCCTAAGGATAAACAAAGAAGTTATTACCATGTCTAAGAATTTAGTAGGTACCAAATATGTTGAGATATGTTTCTCGACAACGAACGTCGCTGCAAACTAAGAAAACCCTTAACTTCTATCGACCAAATTTAAGATAGCTATCAAAACGAGCGAGTATAAAAAGACCCCTTTATGTTCAGCGATCTCATGGTGCAAAAGAGACCTGGCTGAAGGGCCAATTTGCGCCTTGGACATCCCAACAGAGCGATTTTTTTTCTGTTTGGATCCCACTGAGCACAGTTGGTTCTCATGCCAGGTATTTTTTATCACGTGATCACTGGCTGCGAAGGGTATATAACATTCATTCTGTCTTGCTTACATTATCCAGTCATACAGGAAATGTCCGTATCTTGGAGGTGAACCCCGATGGCAACTATGTGAGAATCTTCAACACATCCGGATTCAAAGTGAGTTCATTTCTGACTTTTAAGGTCCATACGTTTATCGCTCTTTAGAAAGTGGTCAAAACCGAGTCTCAATTCTTGCCGATGAACTGTGCCTCATATAGGGTTTTGCTGATTTCAGAACTAGCCTTTCTCTTAACTTTTTCCTCGATTACTTTAACGGTGATGTGCTATTCCCAGCCCTAAGAGTGCTGAGTGCGCCGTGGCTCACTAGGTCTTCCTGTCAATAGCTCTTTCCTCTAACGTCCCGTTATCCTGGCCGGTGGAGATTCATGTATAATATCTGAGTTGCAAAGCGTTGGAAATTATCAGTGGGTAACAAAGTCACGAAAATTCTTGCTATCTTCGTGACGTATCCTTGATTTTTTTCCCAGGATGAAGAGATTGGCGGGTACATGGTTCAACAGAATGTAGCTGGTAGACCTGTGACAGTCTTCCGTTTTCCTCCAAGAACCCGGCTCAAGGCATTGTCACATGCTACTGTAAGTATCTCCATCCACAAATGGAGTACATACTAAGGTGGAAAGCATTAAAAAAATTCGAGATTCGCCCATCGATAACAATGATTTACACGTTATTATGTCATTGGTAGGTATGTTAATTTGCCTCAAACTGAATGACGTGCATTGTGGCCTCGCTTGGTGGTTTATTTTTACGAAAATGATTGCTCAACACAGCGGCAAAATATAAGACCACAATTCTCCTTTGGATATTCTCTCTGCCTATCTACGTAATGAAAATGATCTGGTTTAATAACGCCTTGCCCTTTGCTGTTGCCCGTTATAGGTGTGGTCAGCTGCTAGCTTGACCAGGCACAACCCTCCATCAGACTTCTTGTGGAAAGAGCAGCACAAGTGGGGAACTGGACCGGAATGTACCACGATACTTTGCAAACCAAATGGGCAGGTAAGCCTTCACTTTTTGTATTGTGGTCATCGTCTTCATTGTTGCAAATTGTTTTATTATCCTTTAAGACAATGGAACTCGAAATATATTTTTTCTTTAAATTCTGTAGGCTGTGGCGTGGACAACTGCGGCTTATCCATTTGGCGTCCCGAACCAAATTCCCACGCGGGACACAGGACCGATTACCCTACCAGAGACTGGGGAGCCTGCTAAGGAGAAGACATTTCCTCGTTCTCCAAGGCATGCATCAACGTATTCTCATTTCTCTCCACAACATACACAATTACAGAAAAAGTAGACAAATTAGTCCGGCATTGGAGTTTTCAGTTTCTTGTGGTAACTGCGTCTGTTTTTTTCTCAAGTGTGGTTATCAGCTTGTTGACATATTTAATTGCTATATGAGCGACCCTTGAAAGGGTGTAGGTTCGCCAATTTTTTTTTTGGTTTAATTCCTTCACTGTTGTCACTGATGAGCTGCGTATGCAACTCAACGGATGTTTAATCTGCTAAACATCCACTTGGGCTTGTTGACTTCAGCTGCCCAAAAAGGGTTATAAATGGCGACCATATTTATTGGAATGTCCCGTTTCCTTTAGGTCTAAAGTTCCTGACCCATTGCCAAAAGAAACAGAAGGTAAACCTTTCTCAAATCCCCCAACTGACCCTCTCCATCCACACACTGTACAACCCAGGACCAAGATTGGCGGCCATGATGCCATGAGCATGCACCCACAAGCGAGATCACAGACTGAGAGGCCGGACCCTTCTGGGGCTAGTCGAACTGGAGGAGCTCCTCTAAGAAAGTTTACTGGGACTTCTCTACCAAATAGCAAGGTAGGTTTTAAATTTAAGGTTGTCCAATAAATACGTACAAATCTTATGGTAAATCACGGGGCGATGTAAAGTAGAAGCAATCCAAAACTTGATCGGAAATTGGTCTTAGTAAGTGATCCTATTAAAAATCTGTGATGAATTGAGATAATGTACGTTGGCTACTAATATTTGCTAATGCATCATTGTCCACTTAGAGTTCGACCTCTAAAAATGGCCAGGGAGGGTCCATACGAGTTCTACCTGCAACAGACTTCAGTTCACCGTCACAGCAACATCAAGACAGACTAAGTCAAATCAACAGTCATCAAAGAGTGGAGTTCGCACCGCCAATGCCAAGGCCCTACGTTATTGCTGACACATGGTAATGGATTGGGAAGAAATTGTTTTAATACTATCGAAATATTGAACTTAAACCGTGCTCTAATGAATCAAATTTATAAATTCAGGGTTACAACTCAAATTAGCTTTTTAAAATACAGTGTATTTCCCTCCGTTTCCAATATTATTTTTAGTTTGATGGGAATTGGAGATTTCAATCGCCCCCTTTTCACTTTCCACCATTCAAACTCAGACTGGGAGGTTTATGGAGTTTTTAGTATTTTCAACCACAAAAATGCAACCCACCTCTCTCTTGATATGCATGTAGTCTTCCTTTTCATTTTATTATTTTTTTAAATTGTTTCTTTTTTCTTCTAAATAGATTCACACATTCCCAAAGGAAAAAATGATGGAAAGAATAGTTTGGAGTGAAGTAATGATGACATTTCGTTGTTCTCACAGGAATTTTCGTTGCAATAAATTTTTCAAACTACACGAAACAAAAATTGTAAATAAACAGTCACTATACATATATGAAGGAGCTAAGGGCATTGTCATGTGATGTGTGCACTATTTTTCAAAGTGATAGATTGTTACTTAGTTAAATGTCAACAAAGTAAGAGGATAAGATTCCTTGATCCTCGTTTGTGTAGAAAGTGATAATTGGAAACTTTCTCTTTGCGATGAAAGTATGGAGCCCCTCAGAATTTCTTTTTAATCTAACTCCTAAAATAAGCTCTCAAAGTACCTTAAACAATACTTTCCATTTATCTGGATCAAATGTAGTAAAGGAAATTTGATCGTGTACGAGATACACCCTATTCTTCAAGTATAAATTCTCTTTTTTTAGGGTGAAGACTCAGAAAAAATTAAAAATTATCCAAAATTGTTTTAATCTTGGTGCTTATGTTTCATACTGGTGGAATTTTAAAAAACATTCTGGCGAAAAATTTTGATACGTGTGGTACTTCTCAAGTCGGAATTGCCTTGACCAAAATCTGAGTTGGAATGTAGATTTCATGGTTCTGTTCGAAAAACAGTTAATGTCATGTCTAAGGATTTTTTAAACGTAGAAACATGGATTACTTCGCTTTAGCGCTGCATTAATCATGGCCTTAAGTATGACATTCAAGGAATATGGTACAGGGTCCTTTGCTCCTTCCGTTTGTTCTCGTTTAATTTACAGTTATTTTCCTCTTGCGGGATGGGTGGGACATCTACAGATTATTGTTATTTATGTGGTGTGCGTGCGTGTTAGATCACGTGGGTTGATTTGAGCTTTACAAACTGCTGAGTTTCTAACTTTTTTTGCAAAAAAAAATACAATTACAATTAGAGCGGAACTGAATGTGATCGTGGCCGTTTCTTGTAATTATTTCATTCTTGTGTCTTGACGCTGGTGATTAAAGGAAGTTACGTGGTTCACATCAGGAGTCAAAAGGACCACGAGAGCCAGTTTAGTAAAGCTTAAGAAATTTATCACATTGACGCGACGTCACATTTGGCTGTTTCGGTGTTAAAAGGAGTAAAGGTAAACAGGTACGCATTATGTACATGTTGGTACTTCCGGTTTCCTACTCCCGATTCGTCATTTTCGGATTTCCCTTTTTTGAATTTTTTCCTCGCTATCACTCCAATAACGTACCCTGTTCTTGAAATTCCATTCCAAAAACAATTCTCCAGTCTGATTCTTTACTTTCGATTCTCTCTTTCCCATTTCTAAATATCTATCCCGGATTTCCATTTGCTCGCCAGACAGCATGGATTTTTCACGCATATGATGACATAGTGGGAAGAGAACCATACATTGTACCACCAATAAAAATTAGTCGATATTTTAGGAAGAAAACCGTTTCACTGGAGCAGAAACTCTTCTAGATCCACATCCTCTCTTTGGTTTGAAGAAACGGACGTTGTCAGCTGATCTCGTGGATGCAATATTTCTATAGTATAACGATTCAAGGGGGTGAGGTGCTTCTATTTTTTTTCTTAACGGTTAACATGGTTTATGGAATCATGAGGGTTGATGTAGGCTTGGAGTGCCCGGGAACCATTAGCCCCTCACTCCCTTCTCGGTAAATGTTTTTTAAAACACCTATACCGATAGCTAAGTCGTGAATAAATTAATCTGAGTTTGCCTTTTGTTCTTTTTATTGATGGCCCATGTACAACACACCCTCTAGCAGAAATCATTCGTGTACCATTGCCAACGATGTGGAATGCGAAAAGAATTATTTCTTTATTTCTTCAGAAGTACGTGACACAAATCAACTCTCTATACATGACACGTATCTATCAAAAATAATATAAAAATTTACACAGTAATTATATTATCCATGAATGAACAATAAAAAATTTGTCTTATAACCAAACGCTTGTCATTCGTTTAATAATTGCGTAATAACTTGATGATCCTTGTAGCAGGCGTGTAGTGTAAACCAAATAGCGGCAACAATTGAGAAAATAACCCATAGTCCGACCAAAAGAGAAGTTTGCTTTGTATAAAAAACGATTTCCTTCTCAACCATCCAAAATTCTGCGTGAAACTACGGTAATGACCGTGTTTTAAGACCTCAGAGTAATTCAACCTTTTGAAAGTTGTTTTCAAATGAGCATAAAGTACTACTATGGACGCCACCATTTAGGCACTTGGATCTATATATCAGCCGCTTACCTTTGACTAAACTGAATCTCAATCTCTTTTTTTAAAGTCTCTTGGCGGTCTGTTTGAACAATTCTAGGAGTCAAACAGAAAGCCATACTTCCGGCAATGTTTCTTGGCGAAAACTAGAGCAGTTTCGGTTTGCGAACAACGCGAAACCGCGCATGATGTTTCTGTCATCTTAGTTGAATTCTGGAACGACATTCTTTTGCGGCCAGGTTACTCAATGTTTGCAAAATGGCGGTGTCCATACCAACGTCGTATATTGACCACAATTGGGCTACTTTTGGGATTTAAGAAACACGGTAAAAAGTAAATTTTATCATGTAGCTTTTTTAACGACAGAGATGTAAATTAACTGCACGCCGCGGCAAACTACTTTAAGGAAAACGTAAGCGGAGTAAAAATATAAAACTGTTACATCGAACGCTTCAGCGTTTATTCAAAGGAAACTTGACTTGTAGCACAAAACAGAAAGGAGGACGTCATAAAACGAGTAGTTAAGGCAAAGGGTAACTTTCGGTATTAGAGGTGAAAGAAAAAACTTTACTGTACCTAATTCTGCTCCCTTTAAAACATTTACAGTGACAATTTCTCGACTCCTCCCTAAACCTCAGATGATCTCTATCAAGACGTGGTTTTCTCTTTTGACGGCTTTTCACTTTCCTCTCTACTCGATGCAGCACCACCCTCTGAGCTAGGCTTATCTCTTTTGTGTTCATAGTGCGAAGCACCAGGACTAGAGGTACATACTTCCTGCCGAGAAGGCGTGCAATCTTCCTCTGGAGCAGGTACAACCTTACTTTGTCCAGAGCCAACCCTTTCCTTGGAGCTGGGCGTGTCTCTTAGCGTGATTTGTTCGGGCTGAGACTTCAAAGGTGTTGAAGGCTGTGGTAAATATTCATCCCCATTTGCATTGCAGCAACAAGAACAGAGAAAGACCACCCACAAGATCACCTGTAAACCGACATGGTGTGTTTTAAAAACTGATTTTTTTAAAATGAGCCTCACTCAACCGAAAGGTTAAAAGGCCATGCCTAGTGTTATTGTACTGCTGTGATATACAAAGCAACAAAGCAAACATGCAAATCAGAAGTGCTAGGCTTCATGATAAAAAATGTCTTTGTGTCTGTCACTTTTTATGCTTGTCTGTCTCCTTTTTTTTTTTCCTTCTTCTTCGTGACTAAGCCCCATTTAGTTATCACTTCCTATTAAACTGGCACTATCCATTTCTCCATATGGTGGCTGTCTAATAAGCATTCGTCTAACCTGCAAATCGCAGCTCTTAAGCTCTTAAGCGCTCAAAATTAATGACTAGTCGTGTCAATGTCAAGATGTCTAGATCTGACTGGTTCTTCAAAATGCCTTCTTCATTACTTAGCTTCTGCGGTACAGCCGTTAGAATGTTAACTTAACATTGACTACTTAATTAATGAAGACTCGCACTTTAATTTTTTTCTTGACAAAAAAGTTTCAATCCTACTATTCGAGTGTAATTGACGCAATTTCAAATCAGCTTCGAGTTCTGCCAATCTAAACTTGGCCGATTATTCCATGAATTTCAATCTGTTCAGCCATAGCTAGCTACTAACATGAAAAATAATCGAAAAAATTGTCATTATACTGAATTATCCGATTATCCGAGAAATGTAGCAATTGCGTAGTTTTTTGTCAAGGTAGGACTTGTCTCGAAAACGTTTCAAAGCATCTGACCTTACAGGTGATTTAACACGATATCAAGAGTTCCGCAGCCTTTTTGTCGTTATGGGCCAGGTCTTGGTTTGTTTGCCATCACGGGATATTTGTTAAGCACGTTTCGCTCGAATGTCGTGAAACCAAAACGGAAGCCATCACAAAGGCCAATGAGAACAAAGGAAAATATATCACAAGGAACCAATGAGAACTCAAAGCAAAAACACAGGCACCGCCTAAGGCGTGGGAAAACGCGAGCAACCAAGTAGCAATTGATTTTAGCTTCAAATCAGATTGGTCGAAAAAGTGGCGCGAGTTTTCTAGACCAATTATATGACGCAGTAGGCCAAAACCAAAGTAATCCCAGTTTTCTTTTGTCACTCCAATAAAAATTGATCTTTGCTAAGTTAAGGTGAAATTCCTGTTACCCACTACTTCCTAGTAAGTTACTACTTTACCTCGACTATACCAATAATGATTCCAATGACACCTACAGTCAGCAAAGATTTTTTCACTTTTTCCACGACAATCGAAGCACAACCCTGCAAAGGGAAACATTTATCCAGTAATCATGATTGCAGTTGTATCAAGGATTATTCCAAAATTCATTTACAGAAAACTAAATAAACTGTGACTAGCAGCTCCGGTAGCAATTGAAACTTAAATGACAATAGCGTATAATAAAACTATTAGGATGCGGTCGAAAAGGCGAGGTCCACATCAGAATGACAAGGTCGGGAGACAAATGACTACTTTGATACTAGAATTTGAAAGATTTAAAAGCCTTTGATGATCACAAAATATTTACTTAAACTGGTCATTGCTCATACCAATGCTTAATACTCTTAATCAAGGATCAAATTTTTTTAAAGTTTCCTTGTTTAACATCATTCACGAATTTCACAGATTACTTTCAGCAACCTTACAGTGAGCCAAAAGTGGGTGTAAAACTAAACATTGATAGCTGAATAAGATGATGTATGAAAGGTGTGGAGGTGAATAGTCGTTTTAGTACATACAAAAAAAATGAGGTAACATTACTCAAAAGGATTAATTTAATCCATTTATTCCTGCAACGACCACATATTTTTCGTCCGCAAATCCCACGCGAGTTGCTCGGAAGTGAATAGTAAAGTATATTCGGAGTAGCCAATCAGAGCGCGCCTTCAACACTATCTAATGTTTCAGTATTTATTTAAAAAAAAGGTTATTTATACAGTGGAAGTTCAACTGTAGTTAAGGATTGTGTCTCTCTGTAAATTAAAATAAAAAGAGTAAGAGATATTTAAACTGTGGTAAAATTTGGAGTGGTTGGTTCCTCTTTATATTAACAAACAATCCACCTTTCTGTTAAGTGTTTTATCCGCATCTAAAAAGCAGTAACCACATCCAAACGTCTCATCTTTACAGCAGGCATCTGGGACTTTGTCGTATCTACGTCCTCCCCAAACAGTAATACGCCAGTCAGCAAAGGTGTTCACCCCACAACATTTATACTATTGATCATAAGTAATGATAAAACAATAATTAATGAATGAAAAACAGTCACTGTGATAGCCTATGTGTCGCCATATCGTCCCCCCCCAAGGTGAAGCAAAGCCGAGGGAACGTGTTACCTCACTTCTGTTTCACCTTGGGGGTTGGGGAACAGTACGGCTACATGTTGGCTGAAACAGTGGATGTTAATATAGACTTATTGCAACAGCTATATCTATATGTAATGAAGGAACTTTTAACAAATTTTAAACTTGTGTATAGACAATTTCAGCAATTCATTTTCCATTGTAAATATAGAAACAACTGCTTGAATTCTTAAACATTAGAAAATAATCTTTAAAGACTTCTGTGTGAGAAATCTTTGAGGAATACTTATACTGGTAGAGATATTTCTCTTCCAGGGTAGCAAAAGAAATCTGAAATAACAGAAAGTTAAAAAGACAAATAAACAAACAAATGCTCTAATCATAATTTATGGCATGACCCAAGATTCCCCTCCCCCCCCAACAAAAGGTAATTGACTGTTGTCCAAATTTGAAAGAAACTTAATTTGCTGACAGTACCATATTCAATGCAATACATTATGCTATCATGTGACAGCTCAGCTAAATGGCAAGTTAGAATGAACCCTGATTACTTGTGGAGCAGGAAACTGAACATTTGTAGCTATTTGACGGTCATAATATTCCTCAGAGAGTAGCTATTTGCAAACCTTCTCAAATAAGTTACAAGTAACTAAATGAAACACCAAAAACAGGTTTCTCAATAAAAGAAAGAAAATTGTCTAAAAAAAACAAAACAAAACAAAACAAACATAAAAATAGTACTAAATTAAGCTTCTCTGACCTCTTTCTGTAATTTATTAACATCCTCCATGGAGCCCCCTGACCTTCCATACAGTTCAAGTTTTGTCTTTAGGTCTGGTTCAAATGTATTTGTGACCTAAAGTTTAAAGACAGTACAATGTATATTCCTGCATTATACAACTGAAATATCCTATATTGGAATAATCAACATGGCGTACAAAGGACACCAATGACTTGAAAACACTGCAGTATTGCAAATACCTAAATTGGTAAACTTAATACCTCAAAGGAAAAGGGTCAGTTCCTGGAGATTGTGAAAGGGTCATGTGAAATTGAAAAAAGGCTTGAAAGCCCCAAAGGGTTGAAAGGGAAGAGGCATATTCACACACCCCTCCACCTCTTATTCCTTAGATATAATTAGGGGAGAGTTGAGTGTACCTGTATTTTATAATTGATTGCAATCAAGTGCCACAACTACATAAACTGCTATTTTTCTAATTTTGGGGAGGATAATAAATCTTCATTGTGGTCCACGGGATATCAATTGCAGTTAGAAAATGCCTAATTCAAATGTACTGTCATTTCGTTCATCTGAGAAACAAAATGATTCAGAGCAGCAATATGCTTTTTCACCGATAGACTTCACTGATGAAAGAAATCATCCCAAATACTACTTCTGTCTGAAGATTTACCAAGCAAATCAGCAGAGCAAGCATTTTAATTCTTTCTGACTTCATATATTACCTGGTCTTGGAGAAATGCCAAAAATTGTTTGAAATTTTTGGTAATTATAGCCCTTACCTGGAAGTATCACATTATTGCTGCCCCTCCACCCCTCCCCCCCCCCAACCAACAGAACCCAAATAAATTGATCAGAATCAAGTGAGATAAATAACAAGCAATTTGAATCTCCCTTCTAGATGCTATACATTTCCTTGAATTCCTTGAGAATTTGGTGTTATATTAAGATAACATCTTCCACCTGATAAGTTTGAATATTCTCATTACCTGTTTGCTAGATAATGTATAAATATTTCAGGGAGAAGTAACATGTTAATCACTCCTGGGAGTTAATGGGTCAACTTTTATTTCAATCTGTCACTAATGAATCAGTGTGGCAGTGGATACCCATCAACAATGATTAAATGCTTTAACCCCCAATATCTAGTTGTTAATTCTCCCTTCAACTGCAACACATTTCCTTGTAAACTAGTTCCAAGAATTTGGTGTTACATCAAGATAACAACTTCTTCCTGATAAATTTGAGTTTTTTTCTCATAACCTGTTTGCTGGATAATGAATGGGTATTAAAGGGGGAGGAAATGTGTATCTTGCTTACAGAGATGTATGACCAGTCTCATAAGCTTTGTCTTCAATGTAAGAAACAGTTAAATATTGAGTATTACCTTGTTGATGTTACCTAAACCAATTCCACCACCAATAAATGCCGGAAGAAGGGCTGCCACACCAAGGATTATGAACTGGAAATTATAACAACACACATTACAAAAATAGAAGGTCAGGTAAAAGTGACTTTAAGTAAAAACACCACTCAGTCTGTAACATGACAGTAAATTAGCTCTCAGCTGCTCCTTTAGTACAGTGAATTTTCTGCAGTGCAGTGAATTCTGAAGCCAACATGAAGTTACTTGAGCATCTATCCTTCAGTGCTACAGGGTCAATTTCTAATTTTTTTGCCAGTCAGGCTGGAAAAGTGAGTTGTTACTGCTGGACATTATTGCTAGCATTTCTTTATCTTGACAGATTGATTGCAATAATTCCATTTAGGCAAAGTGACGACTAGTGAGTGTATGACCTAATTAATAGAATTCCAGCAGAGAGAAATTACCAAATGGTTGCCCAGTATCATTGTTATTACATATTACACAGGAAATTCAATGCTGTATGTACTCACTGTAATTTTAAGTCGTTTCCTTTCTCCATTCTCAATAGGTGATTTTTCACAAATAAAAACAAATCCAAGAACTGCCACTAGCAAGCTCCAAACTCCAGCACAGAGGAGTAATATGGGTGCTGTTTGAATGCTTAGGCTTGTCAAAATTTTTGCAGGAGTTATTTGGTTCCTCATCACGTGAGCACCAACCCCAATCATAATGACACCTGCCACCTAATTACCGAGATAAATATTATTGTTAGCAACATAATTAACAAGTAGCTATTTCACAAACCACTTTCATTCTATGACCATGAAAGGTAACGATAACTTTCCCCCATCATGGATGTACTAGTTACAGGTTACTGTGACACTGACCTCTGTCACAATATTCTCTGTACTGTTTCCAAACCTATTGCTAAGATGGCAAAAATTCAGAGTAGTTTGAATTTGTTATTATATGTATTGTAAGATTTTAATACAACGTCTACATACTATTCTTGATGTCCCAAATGAGTAATTGTTAGAGAGAGATGTTTTTTGTCTTGTCACAAGCGTGGGACAAAGAAAAAATTTTGAGTCCTCATTATCTAAGCAGTCTCCTGGACATGTGTCATATATGAACTTCGTAATCTGCCTTGCTCACCATCAAGTCTCTGTGGCTCAATGTTACAGCATCAGAGTGCAGAATCTGAAGGTCTGAGGTTTGATTCCTCATGGGGACTCAGAATTTTTTCTGCATCTCAAACTCATAACAAGATGAAAAAAATAGATCTTTCTCTATTTCTTTACCAAAGTTAAAACTTACCATCTTTCCTATTCCATTGATTAATTGTTGTTTCAACTTTTTTTTTTTTTTTGTTTTTTTGTTTCAACTTGCTATTGTAGTCCCAATTCATAGCCAGAGGTGTCCCAGTGGCTTCAAGACACCTATCTTAGCAGTCTGAATTTGCACTAGCTATAATTGCCATGGTCAGTGAGTAACTAGACTATGAGTATAATTTCCTGATATCAATGAACAAGACCACTCTCTTGTATACTGTCTGCCTTCCAATATTTTACATTTTCATAAGCTGTTTCTCTAAGGTCAATAAAATGTCTATCAAGTTACAGACTGAGACAAATCTAATGCATACTCATGCAAAGCCTGGGTGTAAGCAAGGAATGCAGTTGTCTCTAAATGGCATATCAGTAACATATTGGCTATGCTTACCAGATAAAATCCTGCTATGAGAGGAATCAGTTTCTTAATGATGAATCTCTCATGGCAGTGGCTTGGGGCCATTGTTATCATATGGATGAGCTTCAACCTACAATGAGAGACAAATAATTAAAATAAAACTACAACTGCAAAATGGAAACAAGGTATTAAAGTGATTTCGTAAACCAAAAAATATATACATATGCCTTTAACACTTAGTTAATTAAGTATAAAATATGTAACAGAAATATTTGATATATAAATTTATTGTTTTTTTAGAGGGCACGGTAACGAATCTTGCAATCTGATTGGTTCTTTACCCGGTCACTATTTTCCTATCTCTGCCCACGGGCCACGGTAACGCTTTCGTGAGTCGCCGAGTACATCCCAACTTTCGTTGTCATTTATCATAAATATACCTCGTTTTCCGGCTGGGCAGTATTTTTAAGCAATCACGTCGGTCACTACCTCAAGCCGATAAATAACTTATGAATCCTCTCTTTTCTCTCTATCAAATCACTTTGGTTGACAGAAAAATTTGGTTTCAGAATGAATTTGTATAAACAATAGTGTCATTACGTTGGTTGACAAGCGGCCTAAAAACCGTCTGCAATTAATTTTAATCGTTCACAAAAAGTACCCAGAAAGTTGAAACGTGAGGTATTTGGTTACAGTTAAACTGAACGATGGAACTTTCATTCATTTAATAGCTAAATTTTCTCGAGCAATTTGTTCATAATGAAAGAGCGAGCGAAGTTTTAATTTAAGTTCTACAACAAATATAGGCTCCCGCCGGTGAGTCTTTCCAATTCCGTTCAATTTGGACATTTGTACCGTAAATTGCACAACAGAAATTGAAGGAATTTTTTAGAAAAAGCCGCATTAAATTCCCTTGTGTCTCGTTGGAGTGTGCCGTTCGAATTTAGTTTTTGTGAAGGAAAGACCAGAGTTACACACGCCATTACAGCAAACAAACGAGCAAACTCTCACAACTTCAAAATAAAAAAATTGAATTTACTCACAATTACTTTCCTCGCCATTTACTTAATGAACAGAGGTAAATCTTTGTACATGAATGAATGGTCGATGAGAGTGAATAATACTTTCCGTTAGATCATTGACTGATTTTGAAGAAAACATTGTCATGACAGTCCTTGCCAAACTAGTTCTGTTGGTTTTCAAATGTTCCTACGATTTTTTTCTTGCGCGCTCTCTAATTGACAGGTGTCAGATTGTGACAGATACTTGTAAAAAATAATGTTTCAAAGTTTGTTTGGAAGCCTTTTAAATCACCTTTATCGTTACGGAAATGAAAATGTTTCGGTGAGGCATCTCTCTTCAATTTGCATCACCTCTATTTTAACTACCATTTACTCACTCAAAAATTGTTCAGTTTATGGAAGATCTTGCCGTATTTACAGCCATAAATCATTCGGGTTCTTTCGGAAAGAATTTCGTCAAGTTTAAAAACAATGAATATGTTGTTTACCGGCTAAGGGTCGGTCCGTATGGTGAAAAAATGTGACCTCGGTCATAGTTTTTCACCATACGGACCTCCCAGCCGGCAAATAACATATATATATAATTTTAAATATATAAATTTCAGAAAGACACCAAATTGTATGAAATAAAACTGATGCCGCAGTCTGGCGGGTGTAGGTTTGAAGCTAGCTAATGATTAATAACCCTTAAAGTCAGGAAACGGTTTATCAAAAAATATACACGATGACTTTAAATACTTTAAAGAAAGTAAATTGAAAGATATGTAATTATTGGTTATCAAATCTAGAACATTATGTATTTTAAATGGTCTCTGTACAACTACGCCTTCCTATATATGCCATGGCAACGTGAAACAACATCGATCAACATACAGGGAAATCTTAAATTGTAATGTAAATTTTGGTAAGTTAATTAGCTGTACGCTGTACGTGAAAAACAGAACAAACCAGCTATGGAGGTGATCTCAGTTTAAATCGAGCCAGAGACAATTACACATCCCGCGTGATATGAAACGAAATCCATGATGCTCTGATGATGCGACAAAGCTTTCAACTTGTCTGGGTCAATTGATTCACCTCCCTGACGGTTGCCCAAGAAAATTGTGATGCATTTTCCTACAGAGAATACTGAACTGTAAAATGAAGTAATGACGAAGACAACACCAGTGCAGAGATTAAACTGTGGGCTGAAAAACAACAGAAATCTTGTGGTTCCGCGACAAGAACGGGATCATTCAAAGGGCATCTCGATTACACATTCTTGTGTTTCTATTGTCAAGTCTGTCAAGTTCGTATCATATTACTAAAAGTTTTTGAATAATTAATAACAAGTTGTCATTTCCGAAAATCACGCTTGAAAATTATATCGCTTTAAACATGTTCTTGTCTCGTCGACGCCAGGAAGAAAAAATCGCACATACTTTGAGACGAACTTTATTTTCAGAAGAAATGCTTGGTCCATTATCCATAATATCTTCAGCTGCTCACAGTGTGGCGTGATCCAGAAGAGTGCCGTCCTTGTCGATACTTTCTAGTTTCAATTTCGCTGGCATTTTATAGAGCTGAACAGTAATTTCTCGAAGACAACCAGATTGTGTGACCAATACCGCTTACATCTCTCCGTACCACATTGATGAAAGAGATACTCAAACATCGGAATCAATAGAGAGGCACCCGTGTCAAACCGAGACTTAACTTGTCATAGTAAGCTAGCCTGAAGGCGTTTTCTCAAAGCAAGAAACACGGAAGTGATCACCAAAGTTCTCCTTTGTAAGCCATAATCAGTACATTTTAAACTTGCGAGACGTGACATGCTTTTAATGTCTTTGTCTTGTATTCTTAAAGTAAAGAAATCTTTTTCCTAAATCACCTTTTGTGAGATTTTTAGTTGACTAATACTGATCGGTTGTGGGAGCAATCTTTCATACATCAGTGAACTCAATTAATGTCGCTCTCCTGATCCCACAAAATTGCCGTACAAACACATTTAAACTCTTGTAAATGTCATATGGAAAAAATATACTTCTCGCAAAGAGAAGCCTGTTAAATGTGGCGGAGATGATCATGAATGCGACGCAAGAAATTCTCGGTATCATTTGTCTATCTATTTTAAGTTCTCACCGTTGATTCTTTAACGCCCAGTTGAACTAAGAAATTATGCTCATAGGATTCAACCGAGTGAACTCCACGAAGACAAAGGAATCATCTGTTGATAAGAAACAAACTAGCATTACTTTTTCTAAACCTTGCGAAAGCTCGACAAACCGAAACTCACCTTATTTCCGACAGAAGTATGCTGAAAGTCACGGGTTCAAATATACTTTCTCGCTCTCCCCAAGCTCGCGCAATAAAAAATGTCACCATTTTAGTCTGGAAGCCCGTCTGGGGATCTTATATCAGGAAAAATTTGTGCTTCAGTGCACTGAAAAGTTTTCCGTGAGAGAAGGCTCAGGAAAAGTGAAAAACTGTGAGTCTTTCCAATACAAAATACATGTTCAAACGTGTGAAAGCCTGTAATAGTTTCCATTTTACTGAAGTAATTATGTATCACACAAAGAACTAGCATACTGTGTATGCTGTTATACCTCATGAATAAACAGTATCATAGAGTGAAATAATTACACGTATTTGGGCTGTCAGTGACTTAGTGTTCCTCCAAAATAACTGACCCTTCCTCGTCTCCCTAGCCGGGGATCTGGGGGAAGTGGGGGAACCATAACAACGTTTTAGGGGTTGTGTTAAGCCAAGAGATTATAGTCTCTTAGCTTAGCTGATCGTGATTTGTTTATGCTGCGAGAGAGACTCAACGAGTATGTGGTTATTATCAATAAAAGTGCCTCAGTGCCTTTATCTGGTGGGAAGTGTTAAAATATGGCTGATAATTTGTATAAAGCGAGAGAATTGAACATCGAAAAACTGGAACTGAAAGAATCGGTTTAGCTCCAAATTTATCTAGGATCGAGTTTGAATTTCTATCAAATAGAGTTATTTGCATCTCTCAGCTACGATTCATCAACATTTAAATAAGCCGACAGTTAGTTATCTATTTCTCCTCTACCGTTTTGAGTAAAAGTGACACAAAAGCTTGTCGACGACTTTCGGACGGTCTTTCACAGTTGTAAACTCATTTGAATTACAAATATATTTTTTGAAATTTTAATATATTCATATTTACAATCAGGCTTGCACGTGGAAGAAGGTTCTGAACTACAAGGAATTTGAACATCACTTGCAGCTTCTTTGAGACCAGGAAACACGTCATTTTAAACCTATTATCTTGTATATTGTCGGTTCTGTGAAGGGCCACAGTGCGTTTATTCGGCTAGCTTGAGGGTTGCCGAAGTAAGTGGTTCAAATTTAACGTTGAGGATTGATTGATCGGTCGTCTTGTCGCTAATTTCTCCTTCAAGGTATGTGAATAATTTACGTATAAACACATTTGTAACACAAATTAGCGTTTGCATTTCTCTATGTTGCACTAGAAATTAAACTAAATGGTCTAAAGGAATAGCATGTGACACGCAGTAGCGTGATCATGAAATACAATCCTCAATATGGCCACCACCTTGACATAACAGTTCTTATCAAACCGCGAGATTTTCACGGAAACAGCAACAAATTTTCTCTTTATCGTTCGTTTATTATTTAATCCCATCTTGTAAGTTACGGTTGCGGATGGTACAATGTTCTTTTTACCTCGAAAATTTATCGAATATATCGAGATGGACTCTGCAGGAGAAATAACTTGCATTTCCTGTACACGTTGTCATGTGCACAAGGAATGCATTCATTTATAAATAACCAAAGACAAAAATAAAGGAAGTTGCATACATGATAATCCTTTTTTTTCCTCCGAATTTTCTCATCACTGTTTTTTAAATTGACTTGCAGTCATGAATTACGGCCTTTTTGCTTTGATGAAACAGTCCTAGTGCTCTGAATCTAGTGATAGCGAACCACTGTTATTAAAGACATACCAGGTCACTGTCTTACTAAGTTACTCTAGCAACGGTTTCGCTTACCAGGTTCCTATGTAAAGTTGAGGTGAAGTTCCAATATTTAAAGTGAGCTTTGTGATCCCTGTTTTTGTGTGCGAGAATATTTACAACGTCAGTGAAATAAGTTTCCTGTCGAAACTGTTAATACACAGTCTGTAGGCCGTAGGTGAATTTGTCTGCCAGGACTTTGACCTCATAATAGACGAACAAATTATCCGTTTATCAACAAAATATTTAACTTTTTTTTCTACGGAACAGCGCCCAGTACAAAATTAGAAGATCGTATCTAAATCAAGGAAATCATGACTTGAATGGAAAATAGGATAACCTCAAGGTTGGTTGTTCAGTTTTTGTTTTTTCAAAGATAGCTTAACTTTCTGCGAATGCAAGACTTATCCGCACTGAATGGATGTCTAAATTTCAAAAACAGACAGGGTCAAAACTAATGTAAAACTGCAATACCAAAAATATATCTGGTTTCTTTAATATTTGATTGTTTTTAAATATTCTCCAGTTGAGATAGTTTTGAGCAGAGAATGGAACCGCAAGTTTCACGAGACAGAACTATTTTCTAGTTTATGTTGATGATGACACACAAGAAATGTCATACGATTTTCATACGTTTTTTTGACCTTTAATCTCTCTTACCTTGTTACCATAGCAACTGTTTAGGGTCATATTTCTGAAAGTTTTTTTGTTTTTTTTTTTAATTTTATATGAATATGGCAAAGAAACCATTTGAAGTTTGGTATATGACCAATGAAAATAATTTTTTCGACCGATTTGCTTCGTCCTTTTAAAATACTTAATCACCTAAGCAGAGATAATTTTCATTTCCGTAACGATAAAGGTGATTTAAAAGGCTTCCAAACAAACTTTGAAACATTATTTTTACAAGTATCTGTCACAATCTGACACCTGTCAATTAGAGAGCGCCCAAGAAAAAAAAAAGCGTAGGAACATTTGAAAACCAACTAGTTTGGCAAGGACTGTCACGACAATGTTTTCTTCAAAATCAGTTAATGATCTAACGGAAAGTATTATTTACTCTCATCGACCATTCATTCATGTACGAAGATTTACCTCTGTTCATTAAGTAAACGGCGAGGAAAGTAATTGTGAGTAAATTCAATTTTTTTTATTTTGAAGTTGTGAGAGTTTGCTCGTTTGTTTGCTGTAATGGCGTGTTTAACTCTGATCTTTCCTTCACAAAAACTAAATTCGAACGGCACACTCCAACGAGACACAAGGGAATGTAATGCGGCCTTTTCTCAAAAAATTCATTCAATTTCTGTTGTGCAATTTAAGGTACAAATGTCCAAATTGAACGGAATTGGAAAGACTCACCAGGAGCGTATATTTGTTGTAGAACTTAAATTAAAACTTCGCTCGCTCTTTCACTATGAACAAATTGCTCCAGAAACTTTAGATATTAAATGAATGAAAGTTCCATCGTTCAGTTTAACTGTAACCAAATACCTCACGTTTCAACTTTCTGGGTACTTTTTGTGAACGATTAAAATTAATTGCAGACGGTTTTTAGGCCGCTTGTCAACCAACGTAATGACACTATTGTTTATTTCTGAAACCAATATTTTTCTGTCAACCAAAGTGATTTGATAGAGAGAAAAGAGAGGATTCATAAGTTATTTATCGGCTTGAGGTAGTGACCGACGTGTTTGCTTAAAAATACTGCCCAGCCGGAAAACGAGGTATATTTATGATAAATGACAACGAAAGTTGGGATGTACTCGGCGACTCACGAAAGCGTTACCGTGGCCCGTGAGCAGAGATAGGAAAATACTGATCGGGTAAAGAACCAATCAGATTGCAAGATTCGTTACCGTGCCCTCTAAAAAAACAATAAAATACATTATTTAGATCATAGATCAAGGTAAACAGTCTGGTCTGGCACCAATCTCCCATGACGCAATGGTAGACCATCAGAAGAACTATTCGGATGGTCCTGGGTTCGACTCGTATTAGTGGGATTTGGATATTGTTTCCTCCAAATATGCCAGTGTCATTCAGGGATTTATAACATCATCTTTCTTATAATTCAAACTTGATGGCCGACCGATTGATCAGTCAACTGACTGATGGACTGGCTTCAAGTTACTGGATGACTGAGAGACTGCCCAGCTGGAAGGGTGGCTAGATGGCTGATTGACTAAGTGTGCATTTGATTGACTGACACCCCCCCCCCCCCTGCTATTCTCTTCGTAGACAAGCAACAAAAGAAAAAAAACAGCGGAGAAAATGAAAATGTATTGTCTCAGGAGCGACGGGCAGATGAATCTACGAAAATGAACCTAAATATTACCCATTTAGAAACGCTTCTGCAGATCAAAATAGATTTTCGATTCAAAGTTTAAGCTAGGATTTGAATTATTGTCAAGGGGGTGGGGTAAGGGTAGGGGATGAGACAATTGTCAAGGGTAGTAAAATGGAGCATAGTTGGAGACATTTATTGCAGAGACATGTTAATTTGAATTCCACTTCCTTGTTATCTTTTTATTTGTTGTGGAAATACCGAAAAATTGCCGTGAAGTATAGGGTGTAGCAATCTAGCCAATATATTAATTGGTTTTGTTCTCGAACTATTTTTTTGCAGATGGACAATTTTTCTTGTAAGGCTGTAATCATGAGGAAGTGTTAGTGATGTGAACGTGGATTTGGAAGTTTCAAGCTACACTCTGTAATTGAGTTGTTGTTGTGAAACTTTTGATTACAGGTTAGAAAATTATGCATCTCTTTTGTTTTGTAAAGGAAACCACCATATTGACTTTGAAACAATTTAGAGACAATTAGTCCATAGGTCAGATCGCACTTCAATCATAACTGGGAAGTTAAAACGTCCCAGCTAATGAGAGGTTGATCCTAGCCCTAATATTAAATCAGAGTCGAACGACGATTTGTCAAAAAAACAAACCCTGCTGTTTGGCTTGGATAGAATTTGTTGGATTTTATCTTCCTACTTTTTTTCGCGTTAGCGTTTAGTCCAACCAGCATTATCCAACGATAAATGTATTAAAAAATTATCTTTAAAATATTGTCTCGATGTGCTAAGCACACAGTTTGCACGCCAGTCGTTTGCTAGTGTAAAAATATTGTTCCGTTAGGGTATGTTTTTTGTTGTTCTCCTTCACTGTTTTAAACTTGTGGTGTAAATAAACAATTGTAATTCGACTTCAACAAAGTTGTATCATATAACTTCGCAGGAAGATTTCTAAGAGCTTTATTTCACTGAAACTGTTTGATATAATACGTCACTGATTATTGAAAAAATTTGCTACTGAGAATTTCAAATTGCTGAGCCATTACAAGAATCACGTACAAACGCAAGAAAAACATGCAAATTCGATACCAAGAGTGAATTTCACGCACGCTATCTGACGATAATGAGAAACAAACAAAAAAATGAGAGAAATAAGAGAAAATTCAGAGAAATTGTACTTTTATTGCCTTCTAGTTGAGGATAATTCTCTCACCTAGTTTAAAAAAGTAGCCCAATTTTTATCAAATGGTTACTCAAATCCCCTCATTCTGGGTTTTACTTTTCTTGCGATTTGACTTAGTGTTTTTATTACGTGTAGTTTGTTGGATCATGTCAAAACTAACCTTCTAATTTACACAGTGTTTTTATTTTTAATTTTCAGTGTTGAGAACTTCAAGATGGTTTTAAACCTAGGACCATAAACGTTAGTTTCCTGCCAGGTAGTCGAGGAAAGAAGGGGTTGCAAAATTACTCTGATAACTTTTGTAGATCTTGATACCTTGTAAAAGAATAAAGTATTGGGAAACGTTGTTATTTAGACTCTTTAAATAACCCAGGAACAGAAAATGTTAAAAATCTCCCGTCCACCATCCCCCACCACACCCACCTCTGACAGACAGTTTCCTAAGTCTTCATTAAAGTTGTCTACCTTGTGGTAGTAACATTTATTTCAAACGCCTACTTTTTATGTAACCAAACGTCTGTCCAAATAAACATGCGTATTAGACAGATGTTGTTACCACAAGGTAGACAACTGTCATTAATACTTAACAAACTGTCTATAAGAAGGGGGTGTAGCGGGGGAAGATGGTGGTTCAACTTCCCAATTTTCTGCTCTTTTCAAAGATGACATTTTCCCCTCTTGATGTGGTCTTTTCTCATGAAATCTGCGAAGAGATGGAGAAAGAACTACAAATGAAACACAATGCATCGTTAAGATACAAAATATGACCGCAATACACATTCGTTTAAACTGAGCCCCATAAACACTAGATTCCTTAGCTATTTCTTTAGTTCTAATCATCATCATAAAGAAGTATTTTATAACGAAATTTTCGTCAAGAGGAAGAATAATAAGACTGCAGAAAGACTCATTCCAAAGATCACGAAAAAACAGAAAACATATTCACATGATGTGGTCGTTTCCGTTCAACTATAATTACACTTACCACTTGTTTCCCAAGACATTCTTTCTAAACTTGCAATCTTCACAGTACCTGAATGAGAAAAAATACATCCAACTCGTGTAGAAACACTAAACGGTACTGAAAACTTACGTAGATGCACTCAACGATATCAGCAATAGGAAAATATCTATCAACCGTAGACTTACAAATGCTCTATTTTGAAATGATAACGCTTTCCTGCACTATGCTAACTATCTGCCAGTTTTCAGTAAAGTTTTCTTTATCTTGGCGACGGATGTATGTTACGTACGTCTCTTAACCACATTTAAGAAGATAAAAAGTCATATCATCCAGAAAGCAGTTTATTCATCAACTTAGTAGGCGACAGTAGCGCTATCTTGAATCAAATCATAACCCATCTGAATCTTTCCTCCAAAATCACAAGAAGAAATAACGACATGGTAAGTAATGGAATATTTTGGTACTGTTGTATGTAGTATTGTAAAAAGGAATGGCTAGTGATATTAACATCACACAAAAATAACAATATTTTCTCTAGAATTCCATACCATCTTTTAAAACAGGCCGTGAATCAATTACCGTTTCTTGAAAAATTTAGCCCACATTTTCTTGGAAAATTTTATTCTTCGATATCCTTTGATATCGTTTTTTTTCTAACTAATGATTATTTTGTATTCATCTCTTCAAATTAGTAATTTGTTTAGTGTCTGTTTAAGCTATTCAAGTGAAATTCTGACGTTTCGTACAAATTTGAGACCATTTTGTGCGCCGCAGAAACACGATTCAAAATACGATGACGCTCCTTCATTTACATTTTAGCTGAGGTTATCCATTGATGAAACTCGCTAACAAAATTGAACCCAAGGAAAGGCACCTACTGGTACTTCGTTAGTGGAAGTGAGTTAAGTCGAATTTGCGAAGACTGAGGTGGTACATTAATCTTAAAACAATCACGACAAAGTTGAACGGAATGTGAAAACACACGATCCAAGATAAACACAACCGATCATTGACTAATCCTTCAAATCTCCCTACAGCCGTAGCTGTATCAATTATTCTTTATCTTAATCGCCTGGTGTGTCAGCGGTCTACAGTCATGCGTGACCTCTCAAATAGTGTAGTCAATAAGGAAATCGGAGGTACAGTAAGCCTCATAAAACACAAGATCTGTTTCTGGAAACATGAATTCGAACAGCCCAGAGAATATTCTTTCAATGTGCCAGAAAAGAGTTTTGTGTAACTATCACGGTGAAATTAAAAGCATCACGCTATCACTCTTGCAAAACTGGTCTGTCATTTTAGCAGGATGCTAACTTGAAAGGGAACCAAAATTGTGGTTCAGAGGGGCACGTTAAAGAGGCCGGCTTAAAACGACAATAATTCGCCTCTAAACAATTGGAGGACAGAAGACTCATTGGATTTTAATCCAAATGAGAGCTTTCAGGTATTCCTCGATCCGATACCAATGAACCTATTAACCTAATATGTATCCTGGAAGTGTCTAAATTCTCCTATATTGTTTAAAAACCAAGCTTGGGTTTACTAGACCACTATTCAGAATCGCGAATGCATCTTTCCTTAAATATGAAATCACAGCTTCGAGCACTATTTTGCCTCATACAAGCTCGAGACTACTTCCTTAGGAGCCACAAAAGTTCACAAGAACAAAAGTTTGGGATACCATCCTAGTCGGGAAGTAATGGATAACGCGTCGATCAATTAGAAGCTTCAACATCCCCCTCCGGGCAATCCTCCGGGCAATCCTCCGGGCAATCCTCCGGCAATCCTCCAGGCAATCTTCCGGGCAATCCTCCGAGCATTTGAACTTTTGAAGACTGGTTTGTTAAAATTCTCGCAATTTTCTCCCGAAAACGCAAGTGAAATCCTTAATTTTACGAGGAAACAAGCAATTACTTGTTTACGATGTTTACGGGAAAAGTTTTCTTTAGAACGAGGCCCAGTTGTTCGAAGGTTGATTAGAAGTTTTCCGTGTTCTTTATAGAGACCAAATAACCACGCAAAAAAAATTCGACTGAATTTTCGTTGTTACGCACGTTCATACGAGGCCATTTCAGTGTTCATTTAGCATCACTGAATTATAAAACGCACGACTCAGCTGAATGAAATTCTATTTTGTACAACTACGCCAAAGCAATGAAAGCAACCTTGTTAAAAAAATATTTGCCATCAATGAAATTAAAATTAAAAAATTCATCATCAACGAAATTAAAATTAAAAAGTTAAAATCTTAGGCAAAGTTAAGCCTTAGGCGTTGTTTTCGAAATTTTGGCCAATTCCTGGGGCAATAACCAAAATTAATTTAAAAATGCCCTATGTTAGAAAATCGAAAATAGAAAGCAACCTGACAAATACTTACCATTAGCACCACTTGAAGTCGATCAGGGTCCACTGATCTACTGAAGATTGAACGCAAATGATATTCGCACTCTTGCTCACATGTAACTCCTGTGTGAAGATTGCAAAAGACAAAAGGTTAATCAAAAAACCTTTCTTTTCAAAGAAATCTTGAATGAGTCTTTAAATACTGACGTATAAAGCAATGTTTAAAATGAGTTATCTTCAAATCTTTTTAGCAGTTTTTTTGGGTGAAACTAACTCCTTTGTGGGTCAGCTCTTAGTCACCCACCTCTTGTACAAAGTCCACTCTCTGTTTGGTGCATAAAGACAGTCCCGTGGCCGAAACAATAAACACACTCACTGCATATCCTTTTCCTTTTTTTTTTTTGTGGGACCAAGTCTTTGCATCACAGATGAGACCAGGGAAGAGATTTGTTGGGAGAAACTGACCCCTTTGTGGGTCAGTTCTTATTCACCCATCTCTTGTACAAAGTCCACTCTCTGTTCAGTGCATAAAGACAGTCCAGTGGCCAAAACAATCAACACACTCACTGCTTTTCCTTTTTCTCCTTTTTGTGGGACCAAGTCTTTGCATCACAGTCTAAGACTAAGGAAGAGATTTGTTGGGTGAAACTGACTCCTTTGTGAGTCAGTTCTTATTCACCCATCTCTTGTACAAAGTCCACTCTCTGTTCAGCACATAAAGACAGTCCTTTGGCCAAAACAATCAATGCACTCACTGCATATCCTTTTCCTTTTTTTAGTGGGACCAAGTCTTTGCATCACAGACTAAGACTAAGGAAGAGGTTTGTTGGGTAAAAATGACCCCTTTGAGGATGATCAGCTCTTAATCCCCCATCTCTTGTACAAAGTCCACTCTCTGTTCAGAGCACAAAGACAGTCTATTGGCTGAAACATTCAACAAATTCATTGCATATCCTTTCCCTTTTTTTGTGGAACTAAGTCTTTGCATCACAGATGAGACTAAAGAAGAGATTTGTTGATAGAAACCCACTCCTTTGTGGGTGATCACCTTTTATACCCCCTCTCTCCAAGAAACTCCACTTCACAGGTTTAAATTGACTGCCTAAAAATTACCAGCTGAGTTTTCATAGTGGCAAAAGGAAATTTTGACTTCTCAATCACTCAATACAGCAAAAACTGAGGTAAAAATATGAAAGGCAAACCTGCAATTTAAGTTTACTTTGAGTTGTCTGGCACAGAGTTTTAAATGATATATTGTACTTAATAAAGAGTTCATTTGAATTCTAACAATTGTTTGAGAGAAGATTGAGGGTGAGTCAAAAAGTTGTCAAGAGTCTAGAGGTACATGATCGTACAGCTGCACAAAATAGGTCAATGAATACGTCAGTTTACAGTATATGTAGCTACTGAGCAATCAACTCTGCTAAAATGAATACTTGCAGCTCACAAATGTATGTTCAAACAAGGTTGTAGCCTCCTTGTCAAACTACAAATATGTTGCTAAAGAAAAACAGTGTCATTCACCTAAGGAAAGTTTTTTCCTCATATGCTTTTTTTAACTCTTGCATGAGCCTACTAAGTAAAGTGTTTCATTTTTTTGCAATTGAGCTCTAAGGTGACACATCTGTTGTGGGACACTTTATAGAAGAGTTGTGTACGAGCCATAAATTGAACACTCAGTGCAAACACAGTGCTTCAAGCGATTGAATTGTCAGTTTTATCTCCAACCCTGCCCCCAACTATAAACAATACAGTAAATTCTGACTGGCTGGTCTCATGCTGATATAAACCCAGCTCTGTCAGATACATGAAAAGATGTATCTCTGTAATTTGCTTCTACTTAAATTGGATACATAAAACCACTGGACACAAACAAAATACTTAAGATTGGTACCACATGAACTGGATCAGGGTCCACTGATCCACCAAGAGCCAAAATGTTTCCAAGGATACAAACATTATTCACATTCTTGCTTTGAGTTCCTGTGCAAAGATTGGAACAAGCAAAAATTAACAAAAATATCTTTTTCCCGAGAAAATCTTATATAAGTATTGATGTACAATGTACAGAGCAATATGTTTAAAATGAATTATCTTCAAATCTTTTTTGTGATTTTTTAGGTGAAACTAACTCCTTTGTGGAGCAACTATTAATTAACCTTTATAAGTCTGAGCTCCTATTCACCCATCTCTGGCATAAAGTCAGTGCATTAACACAGTCCAGTGGCTGAAAATTCAACTAATTCACTCCTTTTCCTTTTCCTCTTCTTGTGAGACCAGATGTTTGCATCACAGATTAAAGTTTAGAGAGAGATTTAGTGGGTGAAACTGACTCCTTTGTGGGAGATCAGCTGTAATAGCTACCCAACCATTCTCTGTTCAGCACATGAAGACAGTCCAGTTTCAGAAACAGCTTTTAATGAACATGTTTAATGCTTTTGTTACACATGCTTCATAAAGTTACATTCACAGAGGCTTTGATCCAAAAACAACAATCAAAGTTCTCAGGAAAACCTTTCATCCACATTAAATGACAACTAGATAAAAAAAAAAAAAGAAAGCACCACCAAGAATTATCTTGTCTTTCCCATGAGACCCTTCGACGGCAATTGCCTAAAACTTATGTTTTGCAGAAAAATTTCGAAGAAAAAGATGTACCACTCTCTGTTTTGGGGAAATGGCATTAAAGGGCATGAATTGTTGCACAAACTTTCACTCAGATTGCTAAGGGAACTTCATTTGTGCATGTCATTTGCATTACTCTTGCACACTACTGTAAGCAGAGTTATAACCAAAGAAATGCCAACTTGAAATTTAGATCAGGTGTCAACTGATTTGTCTCCAGATTTATTTTATCATAATAGCTGAATAGAGGAAAAAAAGAAGGCAATTTTCAGAGGCCAATACTAAATTTAACAGTGTATTGGGTAAAATGATTTAAGTGAGTAAGTTCCAAATGAAACTGTGGTGCTGTGTCAGTGGAAGAGCATAGAAAGGTAATTTGGTATTATCAACTGAGTTGATAACATAAGTTGACCACCGTGAAGAGTTTCAAAGCTGATAATTTGAGCATTAGTCCCTTCAGGAGAGCAAATGGGTAAAATGGTTTTCCTATTTTGAGTTTCATTGCTTCATGTAACTCTGCAAAATATTTAGCAATTATTCTATTGTTCCCAAAGTGGAATGAATATTGTTAAATAAGCCCCCAAGATTAGTTCCAAGGGGAATTATTTAACAATAGTCAAAGAGGCTGAGGCAAACAATTGTTTTAGTAAAGTTGCTTCGAATTCTATTATAAATTCTGTAACTAACAAAAGCATTTTGCATATTGTGTGAGAATTGCAGTGATTACTCATATCGAGATAAGTAAGGAGTTTTAGGAGGTTTACTTAATTAAATCAGCAAAAAACTTAATATCTTTCTTTTGAAGAGTGTTCCACCAATCTAAATGGCATCTTTTGTGCTCTCTGCATTTGAATTTTCTTCTACTGCATTTATCACTTACATGGAAACATGAACAAAATGCGAGGCAACCACTTTGAGATTTAGCACTCCTACTATAATCACCTTATGCAAGATTATGAACTAGACAAAAATTGTGACACATACAAGAGTTTTCGAGTAAGTAAGAGAGTATTTTAGTGAAAAAAATAACAACACCAACATTTCTCACCATTTTTCCTTTCTCCTCTTGTGGAGAAATGGGCAACAAAGCAACAGCATTACATACAGTGCATATCTTTTCCACATTTCGGAAAGATTTCCGTATAGCACCATATCATCTTAAAACAAAGTCTTAGCCTCAAAGTAGTCTATTGCATATTTGATTTCACCACTGTTCACTTTCATCGAAGAACTGATGCATAATGAATTATATGCTAAGACTGAAATCTAACCGAGACTTAATAACTAAAAGCTTCACACAAAAGCGAGTTTTTATCTCTTTTACAAGACATCACCTTACCTCTAACAAGCTGTTTACATGCAAGCTTCCTCGCAAGATTTGAGTCCACGTGCGCCTTTGTCATTCCATGTCTAATTGTTACATTCCTGTAACTATAAATTCTCCTTCCAAAAATAATTATCCAGAAGACATTTAGTTCCGGTTTTTACAGCCGGCAGATACCAACCGACAATGAAATTTCCCCGAAATTTTGTTTTCAAGCCAGGCCACCATGTTACATTCCTTCATTGCTTCCCAATCCCATTTCGACGTGTGAACCAATCAACAACCGTCGGAGCCATATGTAGCCGAACTCGGAGGGAACAGTCGGAAAACAGACGAAAATGTCCGAACATTGGACGGAACTGTTCAAAAAAGAGCGAGCTGTCCAAAATTAACGGAACAACGCGAAACAGACAAAAGTTTCCAAAATTAGACGGGATCGGGGACCATCCGAAAAGAGACGCAATATTTCGAGATCGGTGCAGTCAGAAATGTGCGAAATCTAACGAGTTCCGTTATCGGAGATACTGAGGTGGGGACAATGGGTGCAACCTACATGTAAATACAGTGGATTTTTTTTAAAATAAGTCCTGCGAAGTGTTGCTTACGATAAAAGGTGCAAATGTAGCCTGACAAAAAATGGCATTTATCTTCCATTGGAGTGTTTCTAAATATACAAGTCTTCATGAGAAAATTTCGTACCACGGAGTTATTTGATTTCCCGGTTACTTTATTACAATTGTAACAATTGTCATGCATAACAATATTTCCAAAGTTGTGCGGAATAAATTAGATCTTAAAAATAAAGATCGCACTCGGTTATTTTCCCTTGAAAATTTAAGATTGAACGCGCTGTTATTTTGTTACAGTGGGAACGTAAGATTGAGTACAGGGCTCTGTATTTCTCCTGTGCAAGGAGAACGCCACCTGAGCGATTGAGTGAGTTATCGATTACTTTCGTAACCATCCGTATCGCGCGTCGATATGCAATTTTTTCAAGAGTGAAGACTGATTGTGGGTATTTAAGAGATGGTAAAAACAATTGAAGGTTCAATCAGAGATCCCATAGAAACAAATTGTGCTGCGACCATAATTAAATTATGGTCGACCATAATAAAACATTCTCACCTGTAGAAATACGACGAATGTTAGATCGGTGACTCATCAATGTCCAGACAGAAATCATCTAAGACTATTAAAAGAAACACACAAAGAGCCAAGAGGTATAAAATTTCCCTCCATACACAACGTAAATAGTCCTTGTCTTTTAAATTGATTTTAAACTAGATTTCTCCAAAAATTCAAATTTGAGATTTGAGACTTGATTTAAGACAAATCAGGGAGAGACCATATTATGTTTTGCCTTCATTCGTTGCGATTTTCATTGCCTCCGGCAATTATTAATAGTAGCCTTTCAAGGTCTTTCATAATTATTATTGAATTGAGTGTAGTGCAATTTGGTCTGAAATCATACGCATGTTTTTAAAATACAACGAACGCGTAGCGCGAATTTGATTTGAAATCACAAGTATGATTTTAGACCAAACTTTCGCGACACAAAGTTCAATTGCCGCTTTATTACATTTACTTTGAAATAAAAAAAATTCAGTCGCTCAAATACATGACTTTTTAGTCTGTACATATATTTTATTGATCCAGTACTGGGCTGGTGTGTAAAAAAAGTTGCTAACGTTGTCTTTCAGTTTCCTAAAATTTGATTGATTACTTTAGATAAGCCTTGAAATCGGACTGGTTGTTCTTTTTTAGTGGCTAGGAAAAAATTTCGATTAAGATCAGAAAATGATGCGACTGTAGGACAAATCACATAGACAAGAGCCAATCAGACTGCAACAACAGGGGGAACGACAGAAAATTGACGGCGAATGAGGGGGGGGGGTGGAGGGGGAGGATCCTAAGAATATTACAAAGTCTAGGGGGGGATCAGGTAAATTATGGTCCTTTAGCTCCTACAGGCGCTATGCGTTTCATGGGTGGTGATCAACCCACGTGACTGACAGTAACACGTTAACTCCTGTGAACTGTCATCACTCGAAGAATTTCCGTCATGTTCGTAATTATTGTTGGAGTGCTCTTCACTCTGAACACTGGCTTCCTCCTCGATAATTGCCTCTTGAAGAACACTTATAACCCTAGACTCCCATGTCGATCTGTCAGTTTCGTTCGGTAGGTCAATGTAACTCCTATCCAAGAGAGATGGCAAATGGACTTTGAGATCCACATTGTCGTATTTGATTATAATCAAGCAATCATCGCCCTCGTTCATCAATCGTGTTATGGCGTGGTTTATCTCAAATCCGCAAATGCTTTTTTGAACAAAACTCTCCGATACGACAGCAATGATCTTGTAGCTATCATGAACACTATCAACAATGCTCTGAGCAAACACTGAGCCGGGTTGAAAATCTTTCCAATGTATGCAGCATCTAAACCCGTTGCTCTGTAGCGTCGAAAGTAGGACGTTGTTGACCCATTCAGATTCTGTCGTGCTGTAGATTATGAATGCGTGGTACTTAAAAGCTGTGAATACAAAATGAATATTGTTAATATTCTGTCTTTGATTGTTTAAGATTGTGATTATTGCAGTCTTCATGAGGCAATCGAAATAAAGGATAAAAGCAACTAGGAGAGGATGCGCTTTATCCTCTCTTGAGGCAACCAAGAATATCTTGTTCTCGTTTTCCTTTTTAGCCGGCCAGAGAAATCCCGAATACGCGTACGTTTTTTCAGGTTCTTGTCCATAGGCGAAGTTACTCGGACTAAGGACAAAATTAATTCTTTGCATGCAGGTGAGGTAATATCCCATATTTATTAGCAGCTAGCTCGTCACAAACGAGGCAGATACTCAAGCATATCATGAATGTTGGGAAGTTATCGGAGAAAGTCCGTCTTGAAAAGCTTTTGGATGTGTATGTTATAGGACAATAATTATGGAGAGATTCCGGGCTATAGCTTTAGTTTTTTTCCTGAAACAGTAAGATAATTTGAACACCTAAGAAATTTCAGCTTTTTGTTAGAGTGAATGATAAGTGCATGATGCGGCTTAAGTATCGACCTTACCTCTTCTTACAGTCTCCCTGGTAACTGAAGATGGCGGCTTACGACATTTTCGATACAACACCAAAGCGAACAGCCCAAGAAAAAACGTACCTCCAACGGAAGAAAATACAACCTCAAGTGTTCTTGAAGCTGTTGAAGAATCGTGTATCAATGTAAATGTTTGCTAAGAGGATATCCACTTGTATGAGATTAGTTCACCAATTTTCCAAGGGAACAACAGCTCAAGAGATTCTAGTGAGTGGTTCGCTGATATTTCTTTTGTGGACTTTGAATTGTATTTGGAGAATCCATTGCATTGAGGAATATATTACAGATGAATTAACTCTAGGGGTTAAAGAGACAGGAGACATTTCGCCTTTATAAAAGACGAAACATAGTTTTTCAAGGCTTTTTTTTTCTATGGGGATCAACCGCGTCAAAGTTACTTATCTACACTTACTTGGCGATGATGCTGTCGCTGCCGGAATAGAAACTTCTATGAGAGTAAAACCAATTTGACCTCATGTCGGTTAATACAGTTTCAAATTTGACATAACCGGTTAATATTTGGCAAGCTACTACTGCTAAAGTAGTCACTTTTAGATTCTTTCGTTGCAATAGCATTATCCTCTAAAATAGGGACAGCTGCATCGCCCATAATTCATTATATTGTGATTCTGCGGGGGATAAGACTGAGGGAGAGAGGGAGGGAAGGGGGAATTGATTTCTTGAAATGTCCTGCCTTTGTCTCTCTCGATCCTGAGCTACACTGTACGTTTGCAATTGTTTGCAATTTCTGGGGTAAATTTCAGATTGAGAATCTCAACCAAAACAAAATAAACAAAATAACCAAAACGGATAATCAATTCAAAACAAAAGTAAGTAACACGAAGAGCCAATGAAAGGTCGGAGTAACTTAAATCAAGCCGCCTGAGGTTCTGAAAACATGGATGACTGCGTCGTGATTAGCTTTGCATCCGAGTGGTTCAGATGTTCAAGCGAGTTTTTTGGCAAATTACAGGGCAAAGGGATGTAAAACCAATGGAATCTCGGATTACTTTCGACGCCACCGCAAATGAATCCAACATTCTTCTGATATTTACAATGTTGCAATTCCAGAATATTCAAGAACGTCAGCCCTTCTATGACCTCGTCAGTGTTCAACAGAAAATTGAGTAGATCAGGACTTCCAGACTGTTTGTCCGTCTGTCCACATTCACTTTGACATGAAATACTGAGAGCACTGATATACTCATTATAATTCTACCACATTTCCGTAATTGTTAACGCTTACTTATTCTAAACAAAGTTATTGCTGTAATGATTGTCACTTTGTCTTACTTTTCATTTCATCATTCTCACCATTGTTACAAATTTTTTAACATCAATGTTGTGATTATCATAATCGTCCTTGTCACTGTCACTGTAACTGTCTCCGACATTGCCATTGCCATTGCCTTTGCTATTGTCGTTGCCTTATTATTAGTATAGGTAATAACATGATTCGAGTGCAATTGGTATTAATAAGCAAGAGTAAATATTTCAAAGACAATAAAATTGCACGGTTCCCTAAGACGAGTGCAATTTGTAGTCTTTGAAAAATTTAGAAGTGCTTATCACGCCAAAGTGCGAGAGAAATCTTGTTATTACTTCTTAATGAAACAACATCACAGAAAGTCAAGACAGACGACATTTTGAAAGTGTGCGCGCTATTGTAACTTGCACCACTCGTGTAACATGAGAATGCACTCGTTTTCAGCCAGTCGGAAGCGCGTGAATTTTTCATGTACATTACTACTTAATTATTATCATCAGTAGCGTTACTAGTATTAATAATAGTATCCTTATTATTATTATTATTATTATCATTATTGTTGTTATCATTATCACTTAAAACTGAACATTATCATTGTGTTGAAAATTATGCATCTTACCTTTTTTTCGAGTAATATGAGACATTGCATACATATCTAGATGTTTGGGGAATGGATAGGCAGTCACCTAGGCACAAGGGAAAGATTTTGGATTCAGAAGTTTCTGTTGACTAAATCCTACAGAGAACTCTCCAAAAATTCTTTATTATGCTTGTTCCTTCCTTCTATGTTTCATATTTGAACCTAAGAGGAGGAGACGGTAGGGGCTGCGTTTCGTCAATAGCTGTCATGTCAGCCAAATGAAAGTGATGAAGTCTTTCAAAAATCACGTGGGTAAATGTTGATTTTCGCCTTAGCAATATGAGGATGTAATAAGTAAAAAAAGAGAGCGCCATAGAGTTAAAAAAATTCACAGCCACAGATCATCATCCGTGGCTGTGAACCTTCTGAGCAATTTCAGAATATCTCCGGACCTTTTGTCAAATGAATCAAATATCGTTCTAAAACTTCTTCACATGAAAATACCATAACAAAACCAATGGAGGACTACGAAAATTTAACGATGACGAACAAAAGGAAGAGGAACCTCTTTTGAACCTTGGTTGCCAAATACGCTTCGAGTCAAATGACTGACGCCCCCAAATATACACTGTAATTTAACACCTTGACCCCTAAGAGTGATAATCTAATTTCTCCCCACAAAATCACTCCTAAATCAAACATTAAGGTCACAAGAATAAAGGAAATGATCGCCAACTCAAGAAGTTCTTGATTGTGAGACACGTTCTCCTTGTTAGCACCTTGGAAAATGTATAGAGAACAGTATGGAGAATATGCACGCATGGAGTTGATATTAGGAAGTAAAGGAACAATGAGGAAGCTTTTCTTGCCAGTCGGTTGTCATCGAATTAAATTGATACTCACAGGATAACAAGATAAAGTCGCTATCGTCACTTACCGCGACGTCAATTCGCTCAGGATATTTCCAACCATAAGTGGCATAATCCAAGATGAAATATGTCTGGTTCTGAATGAAATACGTTTCGAATTCCAATATTTAGGAGCTGATTTAAAACATGTACCAAAATCAAAAATTTGTTACGTTTGCAATAAACTAATGAGCTCAGCTCGATAAGCTTGTCTCCTGTACCTAAGATTAACAACGGTCAAGTTTTTTTCATAATTGAAATCGATTTGCAGTATCAAAAATTTAAGCTACAGGGAATATACGCCATTAAGAATTTACTTTACTATTCATGTTACGTCGTGTTGTACTTCAAGAAGGCAATTCGATCTTGTTGTGTGATCGTCCGCGTGAGAGCAGCCCTGACAACGACTGTTGTCGGTAATGCTGATCAGCGGCAGTTTTTACAATCTCAGCAAATTAAGAATTAAAAATGAGGGAATTTCAGTGAATACCTTTGGTAATTTGAAACACTGTAATTTGAGGACATTCTTTTGATTTCCGCCGATACCCCTTTGAATGTAGTAGCTAGTCCAGTTGAAAGAGGCATCTGCAGAAAAGATACCCAAGTAAGTTGCAAGATACTTGAAAAAATCTCGAATCATTGCATCACTCGAGCACGTGCGAGAAGCTGTGTGGCGGTTTAAGTATCCCATCAGTGATTTGTTTTGAACAAATACCTCCATAACCGTCCTTGTTCCCTCTCCACTTAATTTTGCTTTTTCGTCTTTTACCACCCTCTGACTGATAGTCTACCCCCTTTCAATGATCCCTTTTGAACAGAAGGGTGCGCATAAGTCATGCAAAATCAACACAAAATAACAGTAGCTCAAACACCAGTCACTCCCATATATCATAATTATATGTTTAACATAATACAAGTCTAACAAGTTACAACCAATCTGCCAAGTGTTATAGTACTGAATTTTGCTTAGCTTATATGATAAAACATCACAGAATTAAAACTCACTTACTTTTAAAAGGTGTCCACGAAATGTTGACAACCCATTCTCCGTTACTTCGTTTGGAAAAATGTCCATTGATGTTTTTGGGATGCCACTCGTATTCTCCAAACTCGTGCCGTACACAACCTGCAGAAAGGCACATACTCTAAATATGGCAGTTTTCGGTGGTTAATGAAAAGTACGTTATGTAATTTGAGCTTATTTGCCGAGAAAATAACAAAAAAGGTTCACAACCTTCTTTGAGTTGGCTAGTGAATTACACATTGAGCCATCGACATCTCATCCTTCTATACAGTTTGCAAATACCAAATGTGGATTACGTTGGTTCCAATACAAATGCTTTTCCTGTTTCCTGCTTTCACTATTCACGGAAACTTTGTTTGTTTGCTATTTTCGCCAGACAAGTTTCATATTGAGGCTATACTTTATATACTGGACCAAGTCTCCTGGCTTGCATTCTTCGTTTAAAGAGATTATTTCAGTTCTGTTTACTATCTCCTGTTTGTTAATAAAGGAACCGTAACTTACTGAATTTTGAAGAGTTTGTTGACGCTGTGGGTAGGAAACCTAGAAACAGACATTAAACAAGCGTTTATGAAAATAGGATATGAAATAAACCTAGGTCACAGCGTCTTTGATCACTCTCACAAATAGGACTACCACGCTTTTCTGTCACAAAACAAACACATGCGCATGATTACCACGAAATTCTTCATTTGAATTTCTCGTTCGGTCTCCCGCAGTTAGTAACTGCAGTAGCCTGGATAGTCAATAAGAATCGCATTATTTTATTGCCATTGTCTTTTTTTTCTTTTCGAAACTTTTGATGGACCTAACAATACACAACAAACATCTTACTAACAATATCGGTGAGTAATTTGGATTTTCGAAGACCCTCAAATGAAAGCTTGTCTTATCTTACCCGCTGTCGTATCTTCTACAAGCGTGCGTGACGTTGGAACAGCTGTTAGGAAAAAAAGAAAAATAACCATGTAGTTTTCACCCAAATCGTTGAAGCAGTGACATGGATAAAAGCTCTTTGGCAAATTGTAGTGTTTAGGTTACTCGGAAGGGTCGTATATCAGACGTTATATATGATTACAAGTGTCTGTCTCACAAACCATAAATCCAAGTCTCACCGGCTTTGGCTTCTTAAGCAAGTGACCGAATCAAGACAATGATGTATACTATCAATTTATTTTTTCTAGAAGTAAAAAGTCTAGAGTCGTGCTGATCTTTAACCTGATGGCGGAAATGATGAAAAAAAATTGTGAATTATTTTTTATACCACCAGAATGACATAAATTAACAAATGAACCCCTGTCCATGTAACAAAGGACATTTTCCCTCTATCCTTGCATTTAAAGAAATTCATTTTCAGCAGTGGTTATCAAAAATGTTTCTATTTGACAGAGATCTCTTCCATAATCATTGCCTCTGTGGAGACATCCTGTCTCCGTGTTATCCGCTCTCCATTAAGTGAATTTTCATATTGATGTGCTGAATGCCGGAACATAGGAAATATTCTTTTTCATCACAATTACTTGAAATCAAACGTAAAAAAAACCAACGAAAAAAGTTATAAATAGCTAAAACCTTCCTCTAAAACTCAACAATTAAGATGGAGGAGAAATGTGAAAGAAAAAAAATAGAAACTAGTCCAGTTAACCCTTTACATCTAAAATCAGTTTACATATTCTCCTCTCGGTTCTTTACACATTTCCCAGGGTGATAACAAGGATAATTTATTTAACAATCGATAGCTTCTTTATTTGGTGAATGTTTCCTTTATTCTAGTGAACTTAATTTTGATTCAGGGGTGATACTGAAAAGAATCGAAACCAGTCACTTTAAGGGCTCCAAGGGTGAACAGAAGGGAAAAAGTGTATGAATCGAGTGAGCTTCTTTGAAACTCAGGAAACCGTGAACACCATAAATATACATGTAAATGGGATGTCAGAAAATCTGAACTGAGCTTGTGATTTTGAGGTTTGTCTTCGCGAGCTTAACTCGGACAACCGTATCCATGTATATGGAATGTTATACATTGCCAAAGCCAATCGGCGTCAGAAAATCTGAACTGAGTTTGTGGTTTCGAGGTTTGCCTGCGCCAGCTAAACTTTAACGTGATCAGTGGTCAATATACAACTGATTTATCAGAATCAAATAAAAGGGTGCACAGTTGTCTGAGTTTTACGGCAAATATCTGCCTGAATTTGACGAAGAAAAGACGAAACGGTAAGAAAATTATTATCTAAGCACATAATTATTTTACGCCTCATTTTTATATCCTCAGTCCTAGTGTATAGTTTAAACGGGAAGTTACCCCTTTGTCTCCCAAGATCTGACTGTTATTCTCCCCTCCGGCAGCAACACATTTACATGTAAACAGGTTACGAGAATGCGGTGTTACATTAACATAAAAGCCTCTACCTGATAAGTTTGAGTGTTCTGGTTACCTTTTTGTTGAATGATGTATGGCTATTGGGAGTTATAGGGGAAGAGCTATCACACAAGAGTGTCTATGTTGACTTCCTGGACGCTTTTTATCGTTATCGGCACAACTTACGTGGTTTAAATGACTGTACATCTGAGGAGTCCTCTTTTGGAGAGTAAGGAAGAGCAACAATCTTAAAATAAAATATGAAACCACAACATGATGAAAAGCGTCTCACTAACTGTTTTTGGTTCAAAAATAATTAAACTCACGGTAGCAAATACATTTTAAATCGAGGGTGCTCTCACTTACCCTTAGATAAATAATATCTGGAAAAATATATCCATAGGAAGAGAGATTAACTTGAAGAAATGTTTGATTCTAAAATGTAGAAAGAGACAGAGGAGAAATTATGGTGAAAAAACAAAAAGAACACAACTGATAAGCTACTGACCACCACGTCATAGACCACATGAAAAGAAGTTTACTATGGTCAGTGGATTTTCAGAAACGGCTTTTAATACCTCTAAGAGAAGTTTTCTTTTTCCTCTCATTTTGTACAGTTGGAGAGCATGCAGATCTCAATCTGTATCAATGCTGGATTATTTAATGAGTGTGCTCAAAACACTATGGGTACAGCTTTAAATCAATTGCTAAAGCCTCAGGGTTCTGAAGAATTAGGCTAAGTTTTGTTACTTTAACTGGGGCGACTTGCTAGCTTTACATCATTCAAAGAGGCTGTAACATTCTGATGTGCAAAACTAGCTTTAACTTGCGAGGCGATAGTTTTGAAAAGAAAAAACAACACGAATGAGGGTGTGGATGGTAATGTATTGAGAGGTTACATCATTGATTCGCAAACACTAGACTTGAGAGCTAGAAATCTTAGTTGAATCATTGAAGAAATTTGGCGTTAGAAAGAAAACTAAGTTAAATTCATTAAATTCACCTGATAAGTAAAAGAAATTCAGGTCAGTCTTTAAGAAAGATTAACCACATTTTCCGCGTAACTTTGCATCTTACCTTCGGATGCTGAGAACAAGTTGCTGGATTTAAGCCTTTCACTTCAGGGTGGGCATTTTTTACTGCAAGTTTAACCACGATACCAGACCAGTTTCCATAAGTTTCTACAAAAAAAAATCGCAGAGTGAAAAATTGTTACTCCAAGGAGTCATCATGCTTTTTCGTTAGGGACTTACCCTGAAGCCAATTTGCAACACGGGGTCATAGGGAAAATGCCGCACACATAGCAAAAATATATTATTTACTATATTACATTTCCGTAAAAATATCCCTAAAAGAGTCTGATCGAGGAAAAAGAAAAATTTAAGTGCAATTCATACGTAAGCAAGGGAACTTGCATATTAATTAAACCCTCATGATTCAAAACTAGGCTTAGGGAAATCATTTTTCACTAAAAAATAAAACGCATGAAGTTATAATTGCTTTTAGGGAACTTAACATAGATATATTCATATTAAGTATATTATTCTGCATTTGCAGCTAGATAATTTATCAAAAAATAAAACTTAAATTTCAATGCAAACGAACCTTCATTTTCTCTTTAAGTCTTGAGGTTCTCTCTCTCTGGAGTGCGGGAAATCTATTATCTTTAATTTACTTTTAAATTTTTTATCGTATTGGTGAAGGTAGAGCAATTTTTTCACTCCAATTATATCGCGAGAGAAAGGAAAGCCATTTTGATGCCGCAGTTATTACGGACACTCAATAAAATGGGTTCAACTCTCTCGAAGCTTTAATCACTCACCATTCAAAGGTGTCCAAGATATGTTCGCGTACCAATGACTGGTGTTTTTATACTGTCCAAAGGTCACGTTCACCTCTCTTGGGGTCCAGTCCACTTTTTGATTTGGTGAAGACACTGAGCACTCTGAAAAACATGGTCTGAAGTTAGAAATTTGATCGAGAGCAAAAAGACTACCCCAAAAATAACAGTAACTGGAAGTAAATTCTAAACTATCGGCCTACCCCTCTCCGATGCTCAAAATTTAACATCGGGATAAACGACAACTCCCGAATAACTACTACATCAAGAAAGAGCATGGCTGGAATGGCAACAATTAAATTTTTTTCAATCGGGACAAGTTAACTCATCACAAAATTTGTCATACTCACAGACAATTGTATGACGAAGGGTACAACATACATCCCTAGTGGTTGCTATATAAAGTTCTTTTTTTTAAATTGTTTGAATTACATTCACTCCAGAGATGCAAGACCTGTTTGAATGAAACTTTGCAAACCTTTTCAAAACTGGGTAATTATTTTGGTAATTGTGTATCCCCAACAAATCATCCTCTTCGATTTTAAATCACCTCTTACAAAAAGTGTCTATTCAGATGCTTAAAATGGTCTTTGCGAAGTTGGCAAACAATTTATCTGAGCTGATGCAAATTGTTAGGATTTGTAACCCATGTGTTAATTATATTTACAATTTCAGCCTTCATTTCATGATGCATTTAAACTGAAAAGTAAGATCCTAAGCTATTTCCTCACACTCCTGTAATTATTTTCAGCTTACCAGGAATGGCTTTCAATGCCTTTCGAATGCGCTGTTTGGTAGAGAAAGGTGCAGTTAGGCCTCGTTGGTCTGCCACTGCAATTATTAGGGGGTGTAAATTAATCAGTAAACAATTTCAAAATTAGCATTCACGCTATAAAGTTTATTCAGACAGGAGACCAATAAACTATGGGCAAATGAGAATCAATCAGCCTAAAGTACTCAAAGACCCTTAACGGACCAACTTTAAAACATCTACAGGGACCGGTGAAAAAATTTTACAAAGTGATCCCAAGATTTACCGCACTTGGGTTCACGCGATTTTTAATTTAGCGTCCTAAAAGGAGAAACAAACAAATCACGTCGACCAATCAAATAAATGTGAATATCGCTTTATCGATATAATTCTAAACCAGCTTACCTTTCCTTGCCTTGCAAAGCTCATAACACGAGGGGAATACCTGCAGGTCAGAAAGACATAGGGACAGTTGGTCAGGTGCCAAAATTGATCGATGAATTTGCGGTTGACTAAACAAAGACTGAAATCGAATTCGTTTTTGATAAACGAGGCTAGGCTCCAAAGGTGTAGTTCTTTTCTACGATTAACGAATCGTGTAGTACGTGAGATGAATTGTGAGCAAATTTAGGATTTTTAAAAATAGACGGTTAAAGCTTCCTCATTTGCTCTGGTTAAACAATTAATGTGAGGAACATTGGCTGCCATCATGTCACAAAGGGTTAAGATCATATCATCGCACGGCTGAATTTTTTCAGTATTTTAGATCCGCCTATCATTAACCTACGGAAAACACGTCTTGATGCATGATTCTGTTGCAGGAAATCGGAAGGCTTCCAAGAATATCAGAGATATCAAAAGAAGAAAAATTTGAATAATGGAAAAGCTCGACAAGGGGCAAAATATAAACTCTTAACTGCTTCCTTCCTCCGACAAACAGTAATGTTATTTGCATATTTAAAGTATGATCACCAGGAAATTTCAAATGCTAAACGGTGTTAAGACCTAAAAAGCCATGTTTAGAAAGCCTCATCGATTATTTTTATATTCTCATTGGTTTGAGATACCAGGCACAAGAAGTTACTGTCATAAAATTTCCGCGAAATCTGCTTACTGAAAACCTCAATGAACCAACTTTTCCCGGAAAACTGAATCCAATATTACCGATCATTCAAACTATGACAGAATCTTACATTTGAAAGGTCTCATCTACTTAGTTCTAGAATGAACTGTGAAAGCTCTCACCCATCTGAAACGTAGTTTCATTCACAAGTTTCTGCCAGTATCACTTATTCAAATGCTGTTTGCTAAGTAATGTCTCGGGCTATGTCGAAATGGATTTGTCCATCCTTAAATATTCAGGGTGGTAAAATATGCCCAGAAGGAGTCGTATTTTTGTCACGATATCAAGAGGATCTCGTTTTGAAAACATAAGACAATTTTCTTGGATATCAAAGTCAATGAAGATTCTTGTTTCCGTTTCAATGAAACATAACTAGTACTATCATCACCTATCATGTCTCCGTCCAATTTTACCGGTAACATTTCCATCGATAAAAATCTCGGGAAGTTAAACTCTTTCTCTCCAACTTTTTGGTGAGAGTAAACTCGTGCTTCTCTCCTCAAATATCAACGGTACTAAATGCAGTATTTTGATCTACATGACGTATCCACATACATCTTGTTAAGAATAGTAAAAGCGTCGAGAAGAAAAAATCATTATGAAACGCTATGCTGATTATAACTGATATGCTTTGTCATTAATTACGTGTTAGGAAATGATTTGGTTCGTCGGCTTTGCAAAGTGTATTTTTACTCAACAAAAACAAAATGACCTCTTGAACGAAAAGCATTTCTAATTAAGCTCCCTATGCAAACATCTACCAAGGAGCTGTGTTTGGTATTCAAACAAATCAAACACAAATTGATTTTTAAATAGCAAGGTTAGTTATCCTGACGAAGGAGAGGAACAAAAAATAATTCAATACAGTCGGTCTAAACTACGCATTTGCGCAAATAAAGATTTCCCATTTCAAACTTGAATAAACACGAAATTACTGTCTTTACCGGACGGATTTTGTGTCTGTGATAGTTAAGACACTGTAGAGGCAGGATGACTCAATAATTTCGTAGAGAAAAATACTTTCAGCATTGACAGAAATATTCCTCAGTACACGTACACCTGAACGAATTCTTTTTTAAATTCCAACGTGACGTCATTAAAATGCACGTTTTGCTCCGCACATATATAAACACTGATTGTGAAGTGATCACGTTTTAACTTCTGTGAGCACACCGAAGGAAAATACATATAGCGACAAAGTTCCAACCCAAAAGTGTTTTCAGCTTGTCTTTATCACTGTCTATACATCTACCTAAGAGTATTTTGGACGAGCTTAAATTTCAGACCAGCTTAGCATCGCAAGACCTTTATTAATTGTGCTTGTTATTTCGCGATTTACCCTAGCTTGCGTTACTAATTCGTAGTTCAAAGGAAAAATAATATCAATAAACAGTTCTTGCCGGGCAGAAATCTAAATGCCAAGGATCACTCACATTGACGATCGAATGTTAATGAAAATTGTCAATAAGATTCACTTTGCACCATCATTATCCTTAGCCCAATGTTCTAAATTCCTGGAAATCAAATCACGCTCACCTGTTATAAAGTATATTTTTGTATGCCCTCGCAAACAGGTTTCAAAGAGTAGAAATTAGAACGAAACCGCTTCAGCGTCGAAGAAATGCATTAGAATTCCGGGGTTTCCGTTCTACGACAACTTTTACGATCCTAATAGGAATATTCGCAGACTTGAGCGTAAGTTGCAGTGCAGTCAGTATCGAAACCCAATCGGAATACAAACAAATGGGGCACAAACCTTTGAACTGGCGGTTTTTTCAGCTAAGCGATGGCATCGTCGAAGACATGATGACTTTACAGATCGTGCTTGAGATTCTTGAAGCAAAACACCAGCAATAAGGACAAACAAGGGCAATACCACGACAAACATTAAACGGCCGAGTCTTGTATTCATTGGATTGCAGTTGCGTCAAGAGACGTCGGCATCACATGGCGTTGCAATTTCAGGGCTGGATATAGCACCAAGCATTTCGTCTTCAGACACGGACTCCTTGTCGAGAGCACGGACCTCTCTTTACAACCTCGTTTGTTAACTCACCCGCAACAAATTTGTGATTTATGTATGCTGCAGACATAAACAACAGATCATAATTGATGCGCTCAGTCTTCATTATGCCTTTATCACGTGCGATCGAAGTTTGCATTGTCTCTTCCAGTCTTCCATACTTCTTTTATTTTAACACTAAGCTATTTTTATCTTCGTGGATATTTATTTGCATGGGACAATTTTATTCGTCTTGTTGTTTTTCCAAAATGCAAGAACACAGTAAAAGCGGACGTCATGTATGAAATACATGAGTGAGCATGGCGTGACAAATCTAAACAAAAATACCGATGGACCAGCTATGGTGACTGAAGCCTGACCTAGCTAAGCGTTTGGCACCTAAAGATATTAATTATTATGATAATATTAATGATGACGGTAATGATAACGAGACTTAAGTAACTAATTATAATGATTATATTTGTTTTTATGATACTGCCGTAACTTCGTGAAAATAGTAGAATCGAGATAAATTACAAACTCACGATAATACTCACGAATTATTTTTTAAGAACGTGTGTCGGCGTGACTCATACCATCATCCATTTTTTGTGCTGTATACATTCACTTTGTTTTTACACGTTACGCGAAAATAACGTTATCAATCTAAATCAAATGATAACAGTTAGAAATTGCAGTGCTGTGAAGTATTGTCAATTGGTTTTAATCATGATTATCATAATTTTCAACATCATCATTTTTCAAATTTATAAAGTTAGATCATGACTCACAGCTATAAAGAGAATTAGTATACGCCAAACAAGTAAATAGAGCTTTTTGCGCGCGCTGATTGGCTAGTTCGGAAATGAATTATCAAATACTATTAACCTCTGAGCAGCCGATGAGACAAAATCGCGCGTAAAGAGTTAAATTTCTGACCATTTTTTTTGGTATGATAGAAGAAATAAACAAGCTTGTTGGTTTCCGTGTGGTAAGTACTAAAATAATTATTCACCTCTAATGTTGCGTTTGCAGTTTTGGTAGATAGGAGCTCCTTTCTAACAGGTGTATACGTATCACGCTAAAGCTGAATATGAAGGATAAAGCGAGGATAACACTGGTCTTTAAGGGGAAGGCGAATTGGAGAGGGAGATAAATGATGAGTCTTAAATATTTTCTCTCTTATCCCTGAATTTCTGTTTTGTTTTCGTTTTATCTGCGTTTTTGTTGGTGTTTTCGCTTGCAGCCCATTAGAAGCCTGCGCGCGCACAGGCCTCATCATGATGTAACATACGATAAAGAGTGTGACGTAACGGAAGAAACTCAGTTTTTCTTCCGTTCATAAAGATAGTGCTCGATGCTTCTTAATGGGCTATGTTTTCAGGTGGGTGCGTTTCTTCCAGGTACATTAACAATCTACAACATTACTTTGAGAACTTTGAAGCGAACGCAAGTAAGTTTTCGCAGAAATATGAGCAGTTCTTTCTAACTCAGTATGTGACGAAAACGAAGAGGGCAGAGCATCGAGCTATGCAAAGCTCTTTTTTTTACGATCGTTATTGCAAAATAGGAAAAATACTTACCAACAGTTACGATACAGAACGATTCTTGCGGGTGGATGATTTTATTTTAAGACAAAGCACTCTGTACTATTTACAATAAATAGCTAAGTGATCCTTAAGCCACGCAAAAATGGTCTGTAATGTTCCAAATTTTTTTTCCAATCTTTGTCTTTCCAACTTGTTGCTTCGTGCTGGAGATCTTTTTAACCCTTCAACTACCATGGGTGACCAAGACAGAATTTCTCCTCACTAATAATCTTGGGATAATAAGTTGATCCAATACTAAATTCTCGAAACTAACATTATCAGAATTTTATGGTCGACAGTAAGGAGAATTACAGAGAAATCTATGGTTTTACTGTCTTTTCGATAGGTTTCTAGCAAGAGAAATTATAAAGTAATAGTCTATAATGAAATAAAATTGTCTTGATCCCTGGCAGAGTAAGAGATTCATGAAAGAGAGGCACAGATCAATAAGATTATCGAAAATTGTTAGAAAAGATAACAAATTACTTACGTATCGTATCAATTAGGAATTTGAGGTTTAGAAAGGAGAAAACTGATTAAAATGCAGAAAAATGATTTTTTTTTGGATCTGATTTAAAGGTCATCTGTTACTATATGTTTTCCACTCAGGCACTAATCTACAAAAAACTGCTCTCTTTTCTCTCAACCTTACAACGAGAAATAAAATAAGGTTATAAATGAGCACCAACAGTGAATAGTGATGAGGAATCCTCTACAAATTTGACCCTCGGCGAATATCCAATAAACTTTTGACTCAAGATACTGAAACAGTCATTGATTATTGGTATTAAGACTATTTTAGCTATGATTATGTTCCAGTTGTGAAACATGAAAGAACCGTATCGAGATCATATTCACTTTTTACCTTCGCTTAGAGTGTTATATCCATTGACTTGATTAAATTGATTTGATTTGCAGAAGAACTTCGTCACCATAAGAATATAAAATCTGATGTTGAATTCTGGTGTTGAAAATATAAAGTCGTACTGAGTACTGATAGCACCAGTTCTCTCAGCTAGTCTCTCAGATGAGTGGCAGAGTCGAGTAGTGTTGAGTCAATTAGAATGATAACCAACTCGTTTTGACTTCATGAGTCTTTTTTCTGAACATAAATCAGTTAATTACAATTTCGCAAATTCCTGCGATAAGAAACAGCTGGCCAAAGAGAAGCGATTGTCAAGTTTTATGGTTTGAACTCTGCTAATAAAAGCTGCAGCGTCGAGAACCTGCAAAAATTCACAAAGCTTCCAGAAGGAAATAAATGTTACTGTTATTCGTGATGGTAGTTGGTGCTTTATCACGCAATAGTAATACAAGTTGCCTCAGAGGCCATTTTGGCAATTTCGTGTTCATTTTCGAAAACATCTCCGTTGACTGGTTCAAGCACGGATACTTCGGTATCATTGCTTTTTGTGCTTTCACGTTTGTATTTGTGAGGAACCCCGAGAAATTCAAGGAGCTTCCTTTTCCAATGAGGTTTTTCATGATTACTTTCATAGTCGATCACGCTTCTTTCTCGCAAATCTTCGGGTAGCGACCCTAAATCAACGTCATCAATTCTTATGATAACCAAACTGTCGTCATTTCTGTTGAGAAGTCTTTGCTTCGCTTGATCTAGTTCAAACCTGCAAAAAGGGCCGTTCAAAAACTTCCTTGAGAGAACTATTATATTTTTGTAACTTTTGTAAACGCTCTCCGACATCAGATCAAAAATATTACCGCCAGCTCTGAAGTCTCTGTGGTAGATTCGGCATCTTAACTGATGCTCTCCTTCAAGGAGAGGTAGAAGCCTTTTTTCCACCCATTTAAGGTCATCACTTCTAAAAATTATGAATGCATCATAATCATAATTTTCAGGCCCAGGATCTGAAAATGATAAACACAAAATTGTTAGGAGTTGTATTTATGCAAAAGAATTGTAAATTCCCAGACTTGAAAGTGTTACTGCCCAAATTTTTTATAGTTTTGATTTTTCACAATTTACCACTAAAATTGTGAAAAATAAAAACTGTAAAAAACTTGGGCAGGCTTCATACTCATATTAATTAGGGGCGTTTTCAAGGTTGACAAAAGAGGTGAAAGATTTACCAAACACTTAATATAAAGGCTAAACATTTTTTATATTTCGAAAGCGAGAGTAGAATACTGTTTTGGCCCACATCTTCCCGAGACGGGAAGTCGTGCAAAAAAATGTCGCTCACTATCAAAGAACGGACCTTTAATTTGTCCCAAAAGAGGAGTCAGGATTTTTTCGGTGTCGATAGTGCATGGATGTTCAGTTCTTAGCTATTGCAGTAGATGTGATCATGTTATAGCTTGAATAGGCTCTGAGCAAATTTATAAGATAGTTTTACTATGCGTGCTGTTTTGTTAAAAAATATATTATCTCAAAGTCCAAGAAAATCTAAAAGTTAAATTCTGTTAAGAAGGACAACTTCGACTGAAGTGGTGAAATAGATGGATATGGAAAGATGTTATCCACACGTGATTTCAAAGTTAGGTACGTAAGCAATGAGGATCAGTCGAGTCGCTCGCCCCTCCAAGAGATATTATTGGTATTTCTTTATTGAAAGACAAATACAAACCACCAGATGGACGGATGTATCCGTGTTGTAAACAGATTCTGGTAAATCTTTTATGGCAAACACCAGCCAATACTACTGCCAAGACACCAGCAACGATACCAACGGAACTGGACACATATTTCATGCCTTTGTTAGAGCCTAGGTGAAAATGAATAACTTCTAGTACCAAATCAAGAAAAGCCTTTTACCTACCTTCCCTTTGTGACTCTTAGATAAAAACTTGTGATTTGCTGTTATCAAGTACCGGTATGAAAAACTTTCAACGAACACACGTTTAAAGTGAAAGGTCGTTTCTAAGATTCTGTCTAACAATCGGCTCTAGGAATCTCTCCATGCACATTCTACAGAAAGGGGAATAGTTGAAAAATTGCTGAGGTAAAAAAAATCTGTGATTAAAGCCAGGTCACCATGCCCGTTAAAAGACAGACACAATCCGGCTGTTTGTAGACCCAGGCAGCTCAAGAAACCAGTACTAAGAAATAAAGAGATCGATTGACACCAGCAACAAGCTTCATTCTAACAAAGTTTTTTTAAAGTGTGAGACTTTGACGCTTACGCTGAGCAACGGCAACAACGATGTAACTATACCAGGTGTGGTGTTTTATAAAGCATTTCCTCCCCGATTTCTCATGAAAAGATAATAATTCGTTTTTTAGACAGCAGTTCATGAAAAGAATAATAATTTTAAAGCAATGAGGCCTGTTTCAAAGTGCCCCTGAGAAGTTTGTCTGAGACCCCATAAACATAAAAAGTCAGTATTTCCTTCTCACACCAATAGGAACACAGTTTGTCAAAGTTCCTGTGCAAAATTTGAATCATAACTCACCAAATTTTCCAGGTTTTGCAGGCTCGGTGGGCATAGTACCCAGATCAGAAGACAAGGACAAGAAACAGGCGTTTATGCAAATAATGCGAGATAAACTTGGGTGTCTAAGTGCTTAAGTGCTATTAGAAGTAAGATCACTGTGATGGCTTTCCGATGATCACAAATTTCTTCATTTGAAATTCTGGTTTAGTCCTCGGTGGTTACTAACTGCAGTTGCTTAAACTTAAGCATTAAACATTAAGAATTGCATTATTGTACGACTTCTAACATTCCATTTACTTCTTTTTAACACTTTTGACGGACGCAACATTACACTTCTTAATAACAATCTCGCTAAATCATTTGGGTTTTAAACAATCCTCGAATGAAAGTTTTTATTTTCATCTTACCCGCTGTCGTTTGATTTACAAGTGAGAAAGTGAGAATGACGTTGCATTGGAACAGCTGTCAGGAGAAAAAGCGAAATAACCATGTGATTTCACACTAATCGTCGAAGCAGTGACCAACAGATGAAATTTTAAAGTTTCTTATCTGATAAACTTTTCTCTGTTTATATTACCAGAACAAAATAGTCTAATATATGAATATCATGTCTATGTAACGAAGCAGCATTTCCTTATATCCTTGCCTTTAAAGAAAAGCAATTTCAACAGAAGTTATCTAAAAACTTTTTGTTTGGTCGGCAGCGATCTCTTTCATGACATTCCGTCTCCGTGCTATCCAGATGTTTTTCACCGTCATAAAATTAATTCTACAACATTGTTATCGGTACAACTTACGTGGTTTAAATGACAGTACATCTGAGATGTCCTCTTTCGGAGAGTAAGGAAGGGCAAGAATCTTTAAATAAAATAGGAAACTAGTCTCACTAACCTTCTTTAGTTAAAAAATAATTAAACTAAACTGATCGGCAGCAAGTAAATTGTAAATCGAGTGAGATCTCACTTACCCTCAGATAAGTAGTGTCTGGAAAAAGGTACCCATAGGATGAGAGATTAACTTGAAGAAATGTTTGATTCTGAAATTTAGAAAGAAAAAGAGGAGAAATTATGGTGAAAAACAAAAGCAATGCAACTGATAAGCTATGGACCACCACGTTATAGACCACCTGAAAAGAAGTTTATGATGGTCAATGGATTTTCCAAAAACGGCTTTCAATACCTCTAAGAGAGGTAATCTTTGTCCTCTTATTTTGTACGGCTGAAGAACGTCGTCATGCGATCCTAACATTCTGATCTATAGTCTAGTCACACGTCGCATTAACGTGTTGCATAAGTATCTTGAGAAATATGTAACCAGCCAAAACGATATCCATGCAGATTTAAATCTATATCAGCGCTAGATTATTTAAGGAGTGTTGCCCAAAACACTATCACCTCTGGGTATGGCTTAAAATCAATAGTTAAAGCCTCAGTGTTCTGAAGACTTTGGCTGAGTTTGTTTCTTTAATTAGGCGACTTCCTAGCTGTATATCATTCAAAGAGGCTGTGACAATTTTGGTGTTCAGTTAACCTTCTTTTTAACGTGCAAAACAAGCTTTAACTTGAAAGACAATAGTTATAAAAAGAAAAAAAAAATACGAATGAGGGTGTGGATGGTAATGTATTGAGAGATTACATCACTGAGTCGCAAACACCTGACTTGAGGGGTAGAAATCTTATTTGAATCGTTAAAGAACGCTACCGATAGAAAAAAGACTAACTTAAAGTCAATATAAAGCAATTTTTTTTCACCCGATAAGTAAACGAAATTCAGGTCAATCTTTAAGAAAGACTGGAACTACATTTTCCGCGTAACTTTGCCTCTTACCTTCGGATGTTGAGAACAAATTGATGGATATACGCCTTTCAATACAGGGTGGGCATTTTTTGCCGTAAGTTTAATCACAATACCAGACCAGTTTCCGTTAGTTTCTACAAAAACAAATCGCAGAATGAAAAATTGTTGCACAAAAGAGTCATCATGCTCTTTTGTTAGGGAATTATAAACTGAAGCCAATACAAGGTCATAGAGAAAATGCTGAACACAAAAAAATATTATCATCTACTTTATACCTTTCAGTCAAAATATCCTTAATGTAGTGTGATCAAGGAAAAATTTAAGTATGTATTTTGAATCTTACAAGGATAAAACTACTTTGTAAGCAAGGGAACTTGCACATTGATTAAACCTTCATGATAAAAAAACAAGGCTTAAAGAAAGCTTTTTTTCACCAAAATTAAAACATCATTAAGTTTCATTGCTTTTAAGGAACATAACATAGATATATTCATATTAAGTATAAAATTCTGCATTTGCAGTTAGATAATTTCTGAAAAGAAAAATTAAATTTCAATACAAACCAAGCTCCGTACAAGCGCGGTAAATCTGGAATTTAATTTAATTTTTAATTTTGGATCTGATTAGTTTAGAGTAGAGAAAGTTTTTCACTCTAACCATATCGCGAAAGAAAGAAAGAAAGCAGATCACGTTTACTTGTTATAAAATATTTTTTGCACGCCCTCGCAAACAATTATTAAAGAAAAGAAATTAGAACGACACCACTTCAACGTGGAAGAAATACATAATGCATTAGCCGTGGTTTCCGCCATACGAAAGCTTTTACATTCCTTAGAGGAATGTTCGCAGACTTGAGCGTAAGCTGCAGTGCAGTCAGTATCAAAACTCAATCGGAATACAAACAACTGGCGCACAAACCTTTGAAGCGGCGGTATTTTTAGCTGAGCGATGGCATCTTCGAAGACATGATGACTTTACAGATCCTGCTTGAGATTCTTGAAACAAATCGCCCGCAATAAGGACAAACAGCGGCAATACTACGACAAACATTAAACGACCAAGCACTGTATTCATTGGATTGCAGTTGTGTCAAGAGACGTTGGCATCACATGACATTGCAATTTCAAGGCTGATATAGCACCAAGAAATCTGTGTTAAGACACAGACTCCTTCTTAATGGCACGCCTTCCTGTTTACAATCTTGTTTGTTCACTTAGCCGCAACAAATTTTTGATTTATGTATGCTGCAGTCATGATAATATATCCATTATACCTTTGCACGAGGTTTGCATTGTCACTTCCGGTCTTTGTTATTTCTTTTATTTTAATTCTGGGCTATTTTTATCGTGGGATCATTTTTTCGTCTTATTGTTTTTCCAAAATGCAAGAACAAAGTAAAATCGGACGCCATGTAAGAAATAAATACTTGAGTGAGCATGGCGTGATAAATCTAAACAAAAATACAGATGAACCAGCCATGATGATAAGCGTTTGGCACTTAAAGATATTAATAATTATGATAATATTAATAATGGTGTTAAATGTAATTTCTGACGTTTGAGTGACATGGAAACGAATTAGGGAGAAATTAAGATTGAGATAGCACGTTGAAGAGGTGCGGGTGGCATCATGGAAGTTTCGGATTACTTAAGGGTTTCGTGGGAAAGTTTGGTCAGTCAGTCTAAATAAACTTTTTAAATTGAATAACTCGTCTGAGTGTAGTCAGAATTGATGACGGGACTCACATTACTACTTATAATAATTATATTTGTTTTTATGATGCTGCCGTAACTTCGTGAAAATAGTAGAATTGAGATAAATTTCAAACTCACAACACTACTCACGATAATATTTTTTTAAATACATGTTTCAGCATGACTCATACCATCATCCATTTTCTGTGTTGTATACATTCACTTTGTTTTTATTCGTTACGCGAAAACAACGTTAACAATCTATACAAATTATACTAGTTAAAAATTGCATTACCGTGAAGTATTGTCACTTGATTTTAATCATGATTATCATCATTTTCAACATCTTCATTTTTCAAATAGAGTTAGGTCATGGCCCACCGCTATAAAGAGAATTAGTATATGCCAAACAAGTAAATAGTGCTTTCTACATTCACTTTGTTGTTACACGTTACGCAAAAGAACGTCATCAGTCTAGACAAATAATAGTTAAAAGTTGCAGTACCGACAAGTATTGTCACTCGATTTTAATCATGATTACCATCATTTTCAACATCGTCATTTTTCAAATAAAGTTAGGTCATGGCCCACCTCTATAAAGAGAATTAGTATATACCAAACAAGTAAATAATGCTTTCTGCGCGCGCTGATTGGCTAGTTCGGAAGTGAATAGCAAGTACTATGAACCTTTTAGCAGCCGATGAGACAAAATCGTGCGTAAAGACTTGAATTTCCGACCATATTTTGGTATAATAAAAGCAATAAACAAGTTTGTAGGTTTCTGTGCGGTAAATACCGAAACAATTATTAACCTCCACTTTCGTA